ATTTTCTGTTGCAACTGAATGAGCTTAAAAGAAGCTACAGATTGCATTTACTAGGTGAATTTCCCCTCCTTACCCCCATTTCTCATATCTTGCATAAGGCCTTTATACTAACAGGTCTTTATACTAACATAAACTTTCACTGATTTTCTTTAAATTAAAAATTGTAAGCCCATAGTATAGACTGTCTCTATTTTGTCTGAAAATGAACATAGGCATAACAATAATTCTTAGAAGTATTTTTAATAGATTTATAGAGACCCTTTTGAAAAATAAAATGGAAGTCAGAGAAAAAGAAGCTATTTTTTAAACTATAAGTTGGCTTGAGAGTGACAAGCATCTAACACTGACCAAGGCCAAGCTGTGACTCTATTAAGAGGAAGAAGTTCAACAGCCACATTAGCAAAAAGGGAGAAGGAGATTCAATACGGTTTTGTTTGTTAGGACGCCATTTGTCATTTTATTCATTCTGTATCTCTTCACTGGCAACACAGACAAAATTAGGAAGTAATTTTTTGCTTGTTTGTTTTACGCAGAGTCTCGCTCTGTTGCCCAGGCTGGAGTGCAGTGGCATGATCTCTGCTCACTGCAACCTCTGCCTCCCGGGTTCAAGCTTTTCTCCTGCCTCAGCCTCCTGAGTAGCTGGGGCTAGAGACGCACGCCATCACACCTGGCTAATTTTTTGTATTTTTAGTAGAGATGGGGTTTTACCGTGTTGGGTAGGATCGTCTCGATCTCCTAACCTCGCGATCTGCCTGCCTCGGCCTCCCAAAGTGCTGGAATTACAGGTATGAGCCACCGCACCAGGCCAGGAAGTAAATTTTAAGGCATCTGAGTACCTGAAATAATGTTCAACTACCTTTGTTTGTTGATTTTTCAGTTTGCAGTATACCGAAAGAAACAATTCTGAGAGAGGTTTAGGATGGTGGTTAGGGATAACTGAAGGTGCCAATAGAAGGTAAATACAAATTGGATAATAATGGAGGAGGTGGAATAAACTTTGTACAGTACTCACAAGAATTCAAAAAGACATAGCAACATGGGGTCATTTATTACATCTCGTTTGCCACAAGAACAGCACTGTATCACAATATAACATAAGATGTTATTATAATAAAAGTAGGCTGGGCATGGTAGCTCTCACCTGTAATTCCAGCATTTTGAAAGGCCAAGGCAGGGCCGGGCATGGTGGCTCATTCCTGTAAGCTGGCAGATCACCTGAGGTCAGGAGTTCGAGACCAGCCTGACCAACATGACGAAACCCTGTCTCTACTAAAAATACAAAAATTAGCCAGACATAGTGGTGGGTGCCTGTAGTTCTAGCTACTAGGGAGACTGAGCCAGGAGAATTGCTTGAACCCAGGAGACAGAGGTTGCAGTGAGCCAAGATCATGCCACTGCACTCCAGCCTGGGCGACCGAGCGAGACCCTATCTCAAAAAAAAAAAAAAAAAAAAGGAAGAAAGGCCAAGGTAGGTGAATCACTTGAGCTCAGGAGTTCAAAACCAGCCTGGGAAACATAGTGAAAACCCATCTCTACAAAAAATAAAAAAATTAGCCAGGTGTGGTGGTGCACATCTGTAGACCCAGCTACTTGGATGGTTGAAACAAGAGAATCACTTGAGCCCAGGAGGTTGAGGCTCCAATAAGCTGTAATTGTGCCACTGCATTACAGCCTGGGCAACAGAGCAAGACTCTGTCCCAAAAAATAAAAAAATAAGAATAAAAGTAACTGATGGAAGTAAAGAACTTTAAAGTTTACAAAAAATTTATGAATTGTCTTTCATATATTTCCCCTAATTGATTCTCAGATTGACATTAATCCTCTGTAGCAAAGTATCAATGTGTCTAATTTGGAGATGAGGAAGTGAATTATTTTAAGAAGATGATTCAATTCTCTTTATCCTAGGTTCAATTTATAATTTAAAAAAAATGAAGTCATTAAGATTTAAATCTGTTGAGAACACCCTAAGAGGATAGAAACATATGTAATATATTTAATAAAAATTCTCTACAGGGTGTGATGGCTCACGCCTGTAATCCCAACACTTTGGGAGGCCTAGGTGGGTGGATTACCTGAGGTCAGGAGTTTGAGACCAGCCTGACCAACATGGTGAAACCCTGTCTTTACTAAAAATACAAAAATTAGCTGGTCATGGTGGTGGGAGCCTGTAATCCCAGCTACTCTGGAGGCTGAGGCACAAGAATCACTTGAACCCAAGAGGCGGAGGTTGCAGTGAGCAGAGATCGTGCCACCACGCTCCAGCCTGGGCGACAGAGTGAGACTTTGTCAAAAAAAAAAAAAAAAAAAAAAAAAAAAAACATGCAAATTAGTGAAATCTTTAAAATATTTTGACAATAAAGTCTCATCTCTTTGGAAAATTCACTTTTAACTCATTCGTTCTCACCTGTTTGTTGAGGGCCTATGATGCGTGCAACACTGATAGGTGCTAGAAAGAGGTGGAATCCTGGTGCATGGCCCATAGCCTGAAGTTGATAATCTGAGGAAGAAAATAAAACACAAACATGTTAGCCTCAGATGAGGGCCAGTAGACCTACTAAACAAATACCTGTAGTTAGGGACTGGAAAGGAAGCACGTGTTACTTCCAAAGTGGCTTCTTGGGGCTGGCATTTACCTTGTGATAGGTGGTTTACACAGGGGACACTCTGAGTGTTCCACAGACACTCTAGGTCAATGGAGAGGCAGGTGCAGAAAAGCTGGGGAAACACAGGGCTCATCCAGAAGTGGAAAGTACCCTCATGTGCCTGAAGCATGAAGCAACCTGTTGGGCAATCTAGGAAAAACAAAAAACAAAAACTAAAACTAAAACACTGAAAATGCATTCATCCACTCAGCTAACATTTGTTGAGGGTCTCTTACACGGCAGGCTCTGCTCTAGACTGGGCACTCGGCAGTTAGAGGGCAGACTTGCTACCTGCAAAAAGCTTATGTTCTAGTGAGGAGACAAGAAAACAAACAAACAACTATATAACGAAGTATCAGGAACTGACCAATGCTAAGAAGAAACATAAAGCAGGCTGACGGGATAGGCCTCGGTGGTGGCAGGGTGGATTTAGAGAGGGGTGGTACTGCCTTAGAGCCAACAAGGAGGGTCTCTCTGAGTAAGAGACAATTCAGAGACCAGGATGAAATGGAAAACTGAGACATGAATTCCCTAAGCCACAAACCTCCCAAAGCTTATCCCAAAGAAAAGAAAAGAAGAAACAAGAAAAGAAAGAAAGGAAGAAAGAAAGCAAAGCAAAGCAAAGAAAAGTTAGGAGCCCATTTTGCTGAGAAACTCTTTTAAATAAGCTGCAAAGTACTTGAATCCTGCTCAATTTTCACTTCTAGGATTCTGCATCTCAATTCCATAGCCTGTTTCTTCATTCTCCACCACCACTTCTGTTCCAGTGGGCAGGAGAGAGCTCTGAAAACACACATGCACTCGCCCACATACCCAGGGCTAGGCTGGATCCTGTGACAAGGAATATCACAGAAATACTCCCAGCCTCCTATACCTCTTCTACTTGCCCCCACACCCTGTAGAGTTAGAGTCCGTAGATAAGCCCTTGGGGCCTCCTCTTCTTTGTCCTCTTTGTCCCCTTCTTTTTCCCACGCACTGGTTTCCAGCCATCCCCCTTCCTGTGGTGTCCCTCTCACTACGTGAAATGCAGCTCTGAGGGACCCCATTCAGTCTTATGCCTCGGGCCTTAGGTGTAGGTAACTGCCTTGCTTTCTGCCCCTTCTACGTTATCGACTTGTTCATTCAGGTTGAGATAATAAAATGTAGAAATGGGGAAAAATTAAAGCTTGAGACTTAACTAGGATCTAATCATGGCAACATGTGCTGTTGGGCCAAACATAGGTTGCAAACACAAACCACAGCAGGACAAGGCACATGATACAAGTCTCTGAAGAGCGTCTGCAACACAATAAGGGCTAAGCTTGCTATATTTCACTCAACAATAGAACTCGTATGGATATATTGCCTTTTAATAGACTGTGATTCAAACAAAACAACTATAGGCTGGCATATACGCTGCCAGTAGGCCACCATGGTTCCCACTCTAGGACTTGCCCCTCTGTAAATGGGGAAATCAAGGAAAGATCTTGAGCAGTGGGGGAGGCATGGTCAAGCAGTAGTTGAAAGGATTAATCTGGTGGCATTGTACAAGTAAACTGCAAGAAGCTGAGCTTGCGAAGCTGGGAAGATATGGGCGAAGGCCATTGTGAGGAAGGATGAGGACCTGGACTACTTTAATAAGCAGTGGGAGTTTTTCTTAATTAGATAGAACGAGATTGAAAATGATTCAAAAGGGCCAGTTGTGGTGGCTCATGACTGTAATCCCAACCCTTTGGGAGGCTGAGGCAGAAGGATCACTTGAGCCTAGGAATTTGAGACCAGCCTGAGCAACCTAGGAAGACCTCATCTATAAAAATAATAATAATAATAAATTAGCTGGGTGTAGTGGTGGATGCCTGTAGCCCTAGCTACTTGGGAGGCTGAGGTGGGAGGATCATTTGAGCTGAGGAATTCGAGGCTGCAGTGAGCTGGGATGGCACTACTGCACTCCAGCCTGGGTGACAGTGAGACCCTATCTCAAAAAAAAAAAAAAAAAAAAAAAAAAAAGGAAAAGGAAAAATCCACAGGCTTTGGTAACAAATTGGAGAGGGACAGAATCAAAATAACTAACTATATGGTTCAATCTCAGATAATGGAAGAAGGCTGGAAGCATATAAAGCTCAAGCAAAGGGTGTTAATCTGGGGAAAGAAAACACTGTTTGAGTTGTTAGGGTTCTGGTTCAGGTTAGGGTTAGACATCCACGTAATGTCAGTCCATCGGCCTGTTGGAATTACAGCAGCAGAACCCTTGGAGGAGGGATCACAATGGGAGCAATGTGGGATGAATGGGGATAAATGCTAAATCTGGGTACTGGAAAGGATAAAGAGAGGGCAGAGCAAAGTCCAGAGGTTTCATCTTTGTGGAAGGTCTATATTCAGAGCAAAGAGGAAGTAGAAGCCCAACTCAAACAGGCAGATAAAGAGAGATCAAAGAGATGAGGGTGAGATACAGTCCCCTCGTACCCAAGGAGACGGGGAGGTTACAGACTGGAAAAATTGAGAATAATCACCTCTGATAAAGACCACAGAAGTTGCCTGGGAGGTGTTTGGTACGCTTGGAGTTAGTTACATTTGTCGGGTGCATGGGCAGAAGTCAGATTTCATAGCACTGAGGACGCAGCACAAGGAGAAGTTCAAGATCAATTCCTAAGGCAACTTGGCACTAAAAAACATGAAGTATGTTCTGAAGGCTTTACCCTGGGGATACGGGAACGGAGGCGATAACAGCAGAAGTGGCAGCCACTGGCAATCCTTTCTTTCCATGGTTTGGCTTATACTCCAAAGCCACTTATTAGTGCATTCTGCAAAAAGTTTCTTATCCTTTTTGGAATAAAGCTTGGATCCTAAGCTCCATTCACACCTGCGTGATAATGAACCAGCTAGCACTGTACTCAGGAAGCGTGCAAAGTTCTGAATCTTATAACAGAAAGTGAAAGCAAAAATAAATTCTCCTTCAGTCAAATCTGCAGCAGCATGACTTAAGGTAATGTATCAACATTTCTCTTGGGTTTGTCTTAAAATTAGAATTTTTCAATGAGAATAATGAACTGAAGGTATAGAACTGCTGTGTTGAGAAGGTTTTGTAATCTAAGGCAACATTCTGGAGGACTGGGGTGAATTGGGCATGGCTGTATTAGAAAGTGTATGCAGTCGAGGGTGGGACTTGATCTAAGACTCTGCTGCACTGACTCACTCTCTTTCAGAGATCTTTTTGTCTTTTCTAAACATTTGTGATAATTCTTGCCTCTTCAATCCCAGGATGTTTTGTTCACTGCATTGCTATTTAAGGTACAGTGCAGTATAATAGAAAGCTAGAGGTCAAAGAGCTGTGTTTTAGTCCTGATTCTGCTTCAAACTTCCTGTGTGGATTTTGAGAAGTCACCATCCTGTTTCTTTACCTGTTTATTTAATTTAATTTATGTATTTATTTATTTATTTTGAGACAGAGCCTCGCTCTGTCGCCGAGGCTAGAGTGCAGCAGCACGATTCAGCTTACTGCAACCTCCACCTCCCAGGTTCAAGCGATTCTCGTGCCTCAGCCTCCTGAGTAGCTGAGACTACAGACATGTGCCACCATGTCCGGCTAATTGCTGTATTTTTAGTAGAGACAGGATTTCACCATGTTGGTGAGGTTGGTCTCGAATACCTGACCTCAGGTGATCTGCCCACCTCGGCCTCCCAAAATGCTGGGATTACAGACCTGAGTCACTGTGTCTGGTCCTGTTTCTTTATCTGAATACTAAGGACTTGTACTAGCTGGTCTTTAAAACCCTTACTAGTTCTAAAGTTAAAGACTGTGTGAGTAAAGCTTTTCTCTCTACTTTTATCAATCAAGTACATCTCTGGGAGTGTCTGCTACAAGTGGGGGCAGAGCTACTCCTTCATTTTGGTCACTGAATGCAAGTTATAATCCCAATAATAATTTCCTATCCAACACTCATTACTTGCTTCCTATATGCTCCATGCTCTGCTGTGCCAACTTCTTCACATGAATTATTTCATTTAATCATAGCAGCATGAGGAAGACATAATTATTACACTGTTTTATGGGTGAGATAAATGAAGCTCAAAAAGCAGAAACTTTGCCCATGATGACACAGGTGAGGTTGGTGGACTTAGTATTGGAATCCGGTCTGATTCCAAAGCCTCAGACCCACCTAATAAGTCATTCCATTTTTTTTAAACCCTCCAAAACTCAAGTTAATAGACCAATTATGAGTGTACTTATCAGAGGTTCTTGGAACATTGAGATTTGTAGCAGTAATTTAATGCTTGTTTTTCAAAAGGAGGGAGAAGTATCTTTATTTAATATTATTTTATTTGTGTTCCTTTAATAATACCTGTTATCTGCATTAGTATTGCGAATTGAAAAATTGAAGTAATTATCTGGATAATTAATACTGCAAAACTTGTTAAGGATTATAAAAAGAAGCAGCAGCAGAGAAAACCTTCATGGTTTCAGTTGGAGCAGTAAGGAGGTAAGTAGAGGCAGGTGGCAGGGTGAGAGTAAGAATTGATTCTCCTAAATTAACTATGCTGGTCATCCTAATTTTATATGTGTTATAGCTTTACCCTTCGAAGAGTAAGAAACTTAGTTCTATTTACAAAGGTAGTAAATTCAGTTTGATTTAATTGTGCTTTCAAAAGTAGTGTAAAGGAAAAGAACTAAACCTTTAAAAAATTATGTGAGAATATTATAAACTCAAAATTTATTTCAATGGCTTTTGACATATTGAAAATAAACTGAGGATAAACACCTACCTTGACCAGCAACCTTTACACCAGTAGCCATAAAATGAGGCCATTCAGATAATGTTATCGAAAGAGTTGACGTTCAATGCCATTAGTAGAAGTAATAATAATATCTGGTATCCAAAGAATATAGATTATATACAGAATATTCTTTGTGACTTATGAAGACAAAATAGAGATATCTTGCACAGTTTACTTTCAGGCATACTCTTAAAATTACACATGTGCCTGTGGCTCCAGCTACTTGGGAGGCTGAGGCATCAGGATTGCTTGACCCCAGGAATTTGAGGCCAGCCTCGCCAACATAGTGAGACATTGTCTTTTAAAAAAAATAAAATATGACTGGGCGCAGTGGCTCACACCTATAATCCCAGCACTTTGGGAAGCCGAGGCAAGTGGATCACCTGAGATCAGGAGTTCGAGACCAGCCAGGCCAATATGGTGAAACCCTGTCTCTACTAAAAATACAAAAATTAGCTGGGCGTGGCAGCACAAAACTGTAATCCCAGTTACTCAAGAGGCTGAGGCAGAAGAACCACTTGAACCCAGGAGTCAGAGGTTGCAGTGAACTGAGATAGCGCCACTGTACTCCAGCCTGGACAACAGAGAGAGACTCCATTGCAAAAACATAAATTAAAAAAAATAAATAAAATAAGTTGGTCACAGTGGCTCACGCCTATAATCCCAACACTTTGGGAGGCTAAGTGGGGAGGATTGCTTGAGTTCAGGAGTTCGAGACCAGCCTGGGTAACACAGGGAGACACCTCTCTCTACAAAAAAAGTAACCAGGTGTGGCAGTGTGTGTCTGTAGTCCCAGCTACTCTGGAGGCTGAGGTGGGAGGATCACTTGAGCCCAGGAAGTTGAGGCCATGGTGAGCTGTGATCATGATTGCACACTCTACTCCCACCTGGGCAACAGAGCAAGACCCTGTCTAAAACATAAATAAATAAACAAAAATTTAAAATATAAACAAATGTTAAAAACATTCAACATGCAATGAATTTACACACCTGCCTTCTGCTCATTGCACAAGAATTCAGAAGAAATTCATTACATTCAATTTTAAGGTAGGATTTTTTGGGGGAATCCTAAAGGGTTTTTATTTGTAATAACCAGTTAACAGCTTAATTTCTGCTTTATTTTATGGATACTTGGCATAATTCAGACAGAAAACAGATTTTCCCTTACTCACACATACTTTTTTACATGTTTAAGATTTTATTTGTAAATTGAAATCTTTTTCTTCATGTTATAAGTGTGTTTTTTTTTTCTTCTAGATTAAATTCATGTATTGAAAATATTGTCCAGACCCCGTGTGACAGAACAGGAGCCAGTGCAGTGCTATGAAGAACTACGAGATTAGCCTGGAACTTGTCTTCTAGAGAATAGATTTCATGTTCCATTCTTCTGCAATTCACACAGAAAACCAATGTTTAATATTCACACAGGATTTTACTGCTTAGCAGCCATCTTGCTCCAAATATGCGTTTGTTCTCAATTCTCAGTGCCATCTAGTCATTACTTCACTGAGGATCCTGGGGCTTTCCCAGTAGCCTCCAATGGGGAACCATTTCCTTGGCAGGAGCTAAGACTCCCCAACGTGGTCATTCCCCTCCATTATGACCTCTTTGTCCACCCCAATCTCACCTCTCTGGACTTTGTTGCATCTGAGAAGATCGAGGTCTTGGTCAGCAATGCTACCCAGTTTATCATCTTGCACAGCAAAGATCTTGAAATCACAAATGCCACTCTTCAGTCAGAGGAAGATTCAAGATACATGAAATCAGGAAAAGAGCTAAAAGTTTTGAGTTATCCTGCTCATCAACAAATTGCACTGCTGGTTCCAGAGAAACTTACGCCTCACCTGAAATACTATGTGGCTATTGACTTCCAAGCCAAGTTAGCTGATGGCTTTGAAGGGTTTTATAAAAGCACATACAGAACTCTTGGTGGTGAAACAAGGTAAGAACTTGCTCAGGTAATTTACATTCTCTTGTGATAATTTCCTCATGAGTTAAATCTCTTTGCCAGGAGCAGACTTCAGCAGCCATTTATGAGAAATCCAGTAAACTATGGGGAACCCAGAAGAAGGAAAAGCTCTACCATTCCTTAAGGAAACCACAGTAGAGATGGAAGACAGGACACAGAGGCATAAACAGCTGGAGGGTGAATAACTAGGAGGAGAGTACAGTATATGACTAATATGATGGATATGCTTATGTGCTAGGGAAAGAGATGGTCAGTGCAGAGAGGGCTGCAATAGGGAATGTTTCTCAAAGGAAGCGAGTCTTCATCTGGGACCAGAAGGAAATGTAAGTGAGATTGGGGTTGGGAGAGAGGAAGTGACAGAGTATACATTGCCTAGGTAACACCATGACTCATATAGAATAGGCAGAAATAAGGAACAAGTTTGTTTGGAAAATGGAGAAATATAGTCTATTTGATCAAGTCACATTCATTGAGCACAAACTATGTGCCAGGCACTGCACTAGGCACTGAATGTATCATGGTGGGATCTGATGGAACAGACAACCAGGGCAAGAAAATAAATAAAACTGGCAAGGTAAGGAGCCAGTGTTATGAATGAAATAAAACAAGGTGCAAAAGAGGTAGAAAATGTGACTGAGGATTGAGACTAACTCAGTTGACTGGGCAGGGAAGTGTTTGTTGAGGAAGTGAATTTAAATTGAGAGCTTTTTTTTTTTTTAAGAGACAGTTACGAGAACATCTCAGGGCAAGTGCAAAGGCTCTAAAGTGGGATTGATTGAGAGAAGAAGGCCAGTGTGAGCTGAGGAGAGTGAACAAGAGGGAGAAAGGGATCAGATCATGTGGAGCCTTGGGGCATCTTGTAAGGAGTTTTGACTTTAACTCAGATGGAACGGGAAGTCATTGGAAGATTCTGCTCTGATTTATGCTTTAAAAAGATCAAGTCTATGTTGAGGGTATGTTATAGAGAAGCAGAGTAATCATTTGGGAGGTCGCTGCAGTAGTTCAGGTAAAAAGTGATGCTAATTTGGGACAGGCTAGTGACAGTGCTTATGGAGTGAAGCAATTGAACTTGGCAGTTATTTTGGAGGGCAAAATAACAGAGATTGCTGACATGTGAGGTGACATGTCATGTGAGGTGAGGGAAAGAGAAGAATCAAGGATGCTTCATAGAGTGGACGGTTTGGTTTCCCAGGGCCAGGATCCATCTGGGAGGTAAAAGGAGTCTGGCTCAGTGCACTCTGACGTTATATGAATTGTGTTCAATTGCCATTTGGAGAAAACTAAATTCCATGGCTTAACCACACAGAGGTATATTTTTCTCATGCAACAAGAAGTGCAGAAGTGGAGCAGCTCAGAGCTGCTGTAGTGCTGTTCAGCGTCTCCAGGACCCAGGCTCCTTCTGTCTTTCTGCTCAGCCATCCTATGGCTTTCTTCCCAATACTTGCAAGATGATTGCTGCACCTCTAGGCATCAAGTCCACATTCTAGGCAGGAAGAAGGGGGACATGGGGGAGAGATAAGGGCAAAAAGAAACATTCTAGTTGAATCTAACACTCTTTACAAAGATTTCGCACCCAACGACTTCTGCTAGGCCAGAATGAGTTGCAGCCTCATGAAGTCACAAGGGAGCCTGAAGAAGTAACTCCTTTATCTGGACTTGCTGCCTTCCTGAATAAAATCAGGATTCCACTGGAACCAAGGAAGGGGAATGGGCACCAGGAAAGCAACTAACTGTGTCTACTACATACCTGCTCTTCCCTTCCCCACCTTGGGTGCTCACTGCACAGACTCCAGCCATCCACGTAGGACAGCTCTTCCCCAGGCTCATGTCTTTCCACATTCCCTTGGTGACACTTCCCCTCATTGCAGCCACAATCCTCAGGGACTTGTTCTCAGGCTCAGCATAGTATTGGATCGGAAAAGTATCAACCTCTTCTCACTAAGGTACCACGTAAACAATGATGGCTTTTTTCATTTTTTTCAAATGCCGAAGGCCCCATCCAAAGGACATACATCTTAGGGATACTATTCTGGGGGCTGTGGGAGATGAGATGGGGAGATATTTGGAGTAAAGCTGGAGAGATTTCCAGCATGCCTCCCATGATTAAACGCAGGCTATTCCTGATGCTTCTTATGGTTGATTAGTCAGTTCCCCTCATACTCAGTCACCTAGTAGGGCTGACATGTATGATAATGTACTGCACAATGTCAATTGAATCTTGTGAATCTCTCTTTCTCTCTCTCTTTCTTCCTCACTTCTTCATCTAAAATACACAAATAATTCAGTTGATGGTGGTTCTTTTGAGATGCAGAAAGTCACACGTTGCCTGTAGAGCTCAAATTAATCATGTAAGCAACAAAGATTCAATTTTTTTGTTTTTTCAATGTAGACTCATTACAACCAAAATTTCATGTGAGTGAAAATTATTTCAGCCACTTAGAATTCCTTTACATTCGCAGAAACTGCTACCAAATACAAATAAAACCTTGAGGCCACAAGTGAATCATTTACATCCCTAGTCTCAGTTTCCCAGCCTGTGGCATAGAAATAAAGTAAGCTGAAGTAAAATATGCCGACAGCTTCTCTTTTTGCCCTCCTGATCTCTCTCTCCCTCTTATTTGAGCTATTCTATTCTCCCTTCCTTTTCCAGTTAAAATCTGCTCTTCAGATTCACTTCTTAATTGAAGCTTAACCTCCAAGGAGTAAATCTGCAACCGTACAGTTTCAGGCATATCCAGGTGTTGGGGAAGAGAAGTTTGTCAGAGTATATATCTATTATACCTATCATCGTCTGAAGAGTGCCAAGCAGAGAGAACTAGAAGTACCTGGGGGCACAGGTGCAACAGAGGGATCGTTAGCCAACAATGGTACAAGAATATGAAAGCCCAGCTCCTTGCCTCCAGTGGGGGACATGTGAAGGTGTAGTTTGCATCCCAGAGCAAACTGGGAATCAGGTTGATGCTGGAACTTTGCCTGTCCTGCACCCTTGCCTGGCTTCTCCCTTTTCCCTGTCCTGCTTCCTTCACTCCCTTACCTGTTTCTCCTGGCAGGATGTTCTCAGTAAGTCAGGATCTGCTTCCTGGAAATACAACTTAGGACATCACTCATGTACACAATTACTCAAATGTCTGCTGAGGCCCTTTCAGGTTTAGAGACGGTACTGAACGTTTAATTTCTTAGTCAATTTTGAAGCCATGTAGACAACATGTGTACTATCTCAGTCATTTACTGGCCACGGATCCTGCTAAGGTCGTTCAAGTTGTCTGAGCCTCAATATCCTTGTTTGACCTGAGTATGAACGAAATAGTGTAATTAGGGTTCCCAGAACAGGGCATTGCTCATGACTGGTGGCTGCTAAATAAGATTTTACCTTCATTTTCCTCAAAGAGACAGTTGAGATTCACAAAGATTGCAGTTTGAGAAATCAAGTCTATTACCCCCAGGTTTGATAAGCTGTTTGCTAAATGTACAGATTCATTTCTCTTCTTGATTTCACTTATGCATTTTGGCTGGGGGTGGGTCTTTTCACAGAATACTTGCAGTAACAGATTTTGAGCCAACCCAGGCACGCATGGCTTTCCCTTGCTTTGATGAACCGTTGTTCAAAGCCAACTTTTCAATCAAGATACGAAGAGAGAGCAGGCATACTGCACTATCCAACATGCCAAAGGTATTTCCACTTACAGAAACTTTTAGAAATTGTTCTCAAGTTGAGACTCAGTCTTCGTTTGTTTTTTAAAATTACTTTCAGGATTTCAGCCATTAATTTGTTTTTATCTATTTATCCATCTATCTGTCTGTCTGTCTATCAATCAATCATCATAATTTCAATCTAGACTTTAACATCATTCGGTTTGGGGCATTGTTACAGAGCTTTTTTTTTTTCCCCCAAGCAAAATGATTTATATTTTGTGTTCATATGGAAACAGTATCTTAAATCAATGTTTCTTGGCCAGGGATGAAATTCCGAATCTCCTAGAGCAGCACTTCTCAAATTTTAGGGTGCAGATTAATGGTGTGAGGATCTTGCTAAAACTCAGATTCTGATTCAGGAGGTCTTGCGGTAAAGCTCAAAGCTCTGCTTTTCTAACAAGCCCCCAGGTGATGCCACTGCTAATGGTCCAGAGACCCCTTTTGCAGTGGCAAGGACCTCAGGGACCCTGCAGGACCCCAATCCAGGAAATTCTGATCTAGAAGTCTGTGATGGAACTTAGAAATCCCCTCTTTTAAGTTTCACAAGTAATTCTTCAATTTATATATGAAAATTATTAATTGTGATTATACAACTTTTTTTTTTTTTTTTTTTTTTTTTTGAGACAGAGTCTCACTCTATTGCCCAGGTGGGAGTGCAATGGTATGATCTCGGCTCACTGCAACCTCCGCCTCCCGGGTTCAAGTGATTCTCCTGCCTTAGCCACCCAAGTAGCTGGGATTACAGGCTCCCACCACTACACCCGACTAATTTTTTTTGTATTTTCAGTAGAGACGGGGTTTCACCATGTTAGTCAGGCTGGTCTCGAACTGCTGACCTCAGGTGATCCGCCTGCCTCAGCCTCCCAAAGTGCTGGGATTACAGGCGTGAGCCTCAGCGCCGGGCCTATACAACTTTTTTAATTGGAAGAGAACTTTGGGACTCTTATTTGGCTCATATTAGTACTCAAAATGCAGAGACTCTGGAAGACACCGTAGACCCTTTTCCTTGTTTGATACTTCCTCACTAATGATGTGCTTGCCATTTGTGCTGTTGAACAAAATGTAAAATATTTCTGTAACACTGCTTGGAAAGTAGAACAAAAATAGAAGCTTTCCTGACAGCACTTCGGAAAGGTGGAGCACAGGAGGCAGCAGGTCATCCACAGCCAGCAAGTGGCCGCACGCCCGTTTTCCTCTCTGCCTCTACAGATGCAGGAGAGAAATGAGCCCATAATCTAGGTGCTGCATCTCCCCGGATTTCTACTTACTGCTGGAAAAGACATTTGCTTTGAAATACTGGCAGAGCAGACCAAAGGAAAAAGTGGCAAACCTCCATGGGACCCATAGCTCAGTTTTTCTGTGATCGTACTAGATAGCAGTTTAATTAGCCCTTCATTTTCAGGTAGCAACAATTTGCTACTTTGATACAACTTAGGACATCACTCATGTACACAATTACATCTTTCCAACAGCATGTTCATTTCAAGACAGTGTACCATTGAAGTAGCTTTCCTGGAAGTTTTTTATTGATATAATTTTTTATCTGAATAATCATGGTGGGTAAAGTAAAAACACAGCCCTTTTCATAAAAATAGAATGCAAACATAAATTGCGGTTATCATTATTATGCTAGAATTTAAAATTTATATCTCAGAAATCTCCAGTAATTTCTCATGTTCAAGGAAAAGAAGGAAACACTTTGAAAATATTTTCTAAGGTCCTTGAATCTCTACTTTGCCCAGTTGACTGCAGCAGCTCGCTGGATCATGCCCTTTTCAGCGAATACTGATTTAACATTCTGCTTCTTATAAACATTGACCAACTCAGGCTCGCATGGTTAGTCAAAAAAGGAGAACTGAAGTAATGTCACAATCATACTCTCTAGATAACTGTTGTAGCACCTAAGCTGGGTTATATAGACTGGTGGGAAGAAACAATACACACTCAGTTCTCAATTTCCTTAGTTAAGAATGCAGGATTTAAGAGAAGCGAGGAGGCACCCAAGTGCTAGTAGAGGCAGCATATCTTTTGGACACTTATTTGTCTCTTTCATCCTTTAAGGAAATACATACTCACTGGTGACAATTACTATGCCAGTAAAGTTCTGCTGGTATTGAGAAAATAGCTAAATCCTTGTCTAGCAACCAGTGTTTTGTACTTGGAGCTTACATCACCATCCCGGAAGAACTTACACTAATACTCCATACACGTCCATTTAGGGCAATGTTAATCTACATGGGTCACTCCAGGTTTCTGAACAAAACTCAGCTTCCATGGACTATATCGTCTTCATCTGGGGGGAATAAACCATAGCAAACACCCATTTGCCTCCTAACCGTCTCTGCCATCAGCCTTCTAGTAGCCCAGACTGATTTCCCCATAGTCTCACAGCCTCACCCCTCCACCAGTAACCCCTCCACACACTTGACTAAATGGTTTTGCTGCTGAGTTTGGTCAGAAGACCACCAATACCCTAGCTCTCAGTCCCCACCATAAGACAGCATCTCCTCTGCTGGGAGTGGATATCCAGAGAACGTTGGTTGAATCAGATTCCTAAAAACAGAGACTGTTGTTGGGGAAAATTAATTTGCTGGATAGAGTTTTAAAAAAGTACAGCCCTGTATATAATTCTACTGGATAGAGTTTTTAAAAAGTACAGCCCTGTATATACTTCTACCTTTCTTAGAGTATTTGGTCAGTACCTTCTTCTTTATTGGAACTTAGAAATAGATTTCAAATAGAATTCAGTAAAATTTAATTCTGTAGAATTTAATAGCAAAAACATTTGCCATCGAAGTAGACTAGATAATTTATGATAATGCTTCAAGCTATTTTCTCTCACCAAAGCAAACTGTAATCTTCTCCAACATGTCAAATATGCTTAATAAGCTGCAGTCGGCATCATCACAAGCCTGACTCCCAGAAAGGGCTCAGGGATAGAGGTGGGGAAGAGCCTGTCTAAGAGTTGTGACTAGCTTGAAGAAAATGTTTTCAGATTTTTGAATCTGTACCCATTCAGTATTTGGGGGTATTGTACTATGGTGAAGACCATCTCTGAGACAAGCTGCCCAGACCAAATGAAGATGGAATTTAGTCATTACCCAGTGATCTTGATGGATGCAGCTGACGAGACTGCAGGCTGAAAAGCTTCTGCTTCCTCAGGAGATGGGCAGAAGCTTAAATTACTAATGACCTCCTTGGCCTGATTGCTTTCATTGCTGAATCAATGAAGCAAAGATAAAATAAGACCATGACTCAAGCTGTCATGCCGCAAGTGAGAGAATGAGCATCATCTTTGAAATCACACGCTGGTCACCATCCACATCTTGGTCCTACCGTGGAACTAGCCATGTGATCTCCAACAATTCTGTGAACGTTTCTGAGTTTCTGTTTCCTCACCTGAGAAATAACACCAACCTCACACCCACATAAGAGGTTTAAAAGACAATGTGAGGCCTCTAGTTCAGTTTCACTTCCTGTTTCCTTTTTCCACAGAGGTGTATTTCTTGTACAACAAAGGGAAAGGCGCCATTATCTGGCATTTTACTTAAAAGCCCAGAATTTGAATTGATGCAGGGTTGGAGATTATTGCATTTTAAGAAAACAGAAATATCTAATATTTTAGTGCTTTCAATCAACAAAATGAGATTTGGCATTTTTGTGCTTTGGGGATCTCAAAAGCAGGGCTTTGTGTCTTCAACAGAGTGCCAGGGTAAAAGCAATAGAGGTAAGAGAGGCCACAGAATACTAGGAGAGGCCATTGCTCTCCTAGGAGGTCATCGATTGTCCTTTAGAGTATCAGGCTTGCCTCTAACTCACTTGACATAAGTCATAGGCATGGTTGTGAAATACTCCAGTTTTCAAGTACTGATTATTCCTTTTCGTTTCTGTAGGTTAAGACAATTGAACTTGAAGGAGGTCTTTTGGAAGATCACTTTGAAACTACTGTAAAAATGAGTACATACCTTGTAGCCTACATTGTTTGTGATTTCCACTCTGTGAGTGGCATCACCTCATCAGGAGTCAAGGTGAGACTGAGTTCTAATTTTCTACGCAGTGCAGAAAAGTGTCCTGAGAGCAATGAACTTTTATTTTCTCATGTTTTTCCTTATTATCAAAGTATTATGTTTATATTACAAAAAGAGACAGATAAAAAACTAAATTAAAAATTATCCATAGTCTTGTCACCAAGATACAACTACTGATAATATTAATGGAAGCCTTCCAAATATTTTCTATATGTATGTCAGCATATACGGGTGTACATAGTAACAGTATTTACTGACTATATATATGTAAAGGTAGTTTTCAAAGTGTATATATATATACACACACATACACACACATATACCCTTTGAAAAATAGTATATTGACTATTTTAACCCATTTTTCATGAAAATATGCCATAAAAGTTGAATGTCACTAAAAATTTTAAATAATATTATATTAATATTTCATGGATGTTTAATAAGGATTTTAAAATCAGCATCTTATTTTTGGACATGTATATGGTTTCCCACTTTTTTTTTTTTTTTTTTTTTGAGACAGATTCTCACTCTGTTGCCCAGGCTGGAGTGCAATGATGCAATCTCAGTTCACTGCAATCTCCACCTCTTGGGTTCAAGCGATTCTCCTGCCTCAGCTTCCTGAGTAGCTGGGATTACAGGCACGGGCCATCATGCCTGGCTAATTTTTATTTGTAGAGATGGGATTGCACCATGTTGATCAGGCTGGTCTTCAACTCCTGACCTTAGGTGATCCTCCTGCCTTGGCCTCCCAAAGTGTTGGGATTACAGGCGTGAGACACCGTGCCCGACCGTTTCCCACTGTTTTTTTTTAACTTTTTTCCCTCAATGAAAAAGGTCTTTATAATTTTTAGAGTCTTCATTGTTTGCAAAAACTTACAATACGTAATGATTATCTTTGTAGTTAAATATTTGCAAACATCAGTGGACACATTAAATAAATAAAAAAGAACTTCTTATCCCAAGGGACCAAATTATAGACATAAAAACATCTTTAAAGAGTTATAAAATAATGCTTTTGAAAAATGGGTATAGGGCGGGCACAGTGGCTGATGCCTGTAATCCCAGCATTTGGGAGGCCGAGGCTGGCAGATTGCCTGAGGTCAGGAGTTTGAGACCAGCCTGGCCAACATGGTGAAACTCTGTCTCTACTAAAAATACAAAAATTAGCCAGACATGGTGGCAGGCACCTGTAATCCCAGCTACTCAGGAGGCTGAGGCAGGAGAATTGCTTGAAGCTGGGAGGCAGATGTTGCAGTAAACTGACATCGCGCCATACACTCCAGCCTGGGTGACAAGAGTGAGACTTGGTCTCAAAAAAAAAAAAAAGAAAAAAAAATCGGTATAAAATATCTATTACAATTTACATACGTATTATGTTTATGAATAGGTAGATATATGAGTTGTGTAGCTACACATATACATCATGGCACCTCTGCACTTATATATATATATGCATAGACATGGATGTGCAGGAGGTGAATGGCACTTCAGAGGACAGGTTCCTGTCAGCCTCTTTGGATTCACATCCCAGCTCTACAACTTTCAGCCTGGGTGATCAGGAGCAAGTTACTAAATCTTTATGTGTTTTTATTGTTTCATCTATAAAATGGCACCTGCTTCATGGAGTGGGTGCAAGTATTAAATTAGATTTTATGTGTAAGCATTCAGCACAGTGCCTGGTAAACTGTCAAAAAAAAATGGTGGCCACTTACATTTTCTCCACATAAAAGTTTTGAAGGACTTCAGTTAATTCAAAGCGTAAAAGTGGGTCATGAAATAAAAGTAGCCCTATACTTGGAAGGCAATAAAATTTGAATCTAATTCTATTTTTTCTACTTGATAGCTAGTTTCTTTGGGGGAGCCATTGAACATATTTGAGCATTTCTTAGTTTAAAGCAAACTTGACAGACGGCGGATCCAATAAATTCTTCATGGCTTCCCTACGTAGGTCTAGAAGAAACCTATGTTTTATTTGAATTGTGTTTGTGGTCATTATTTTGGAAAGCTAGTTGTCAAGTGCTAAAGTATATCATAGAGATGAACTCAAGTGGATTCATCTCTATGATATACTTGGGTTATGATACGATGGGTTAATATGATTTGAAAGTTACAGATGAGCACTGAGGAAATGGATTGTAATAGAAGATCCAGGGTGTTTGTAATTTTCAAGACTGACTTGCTTTAATACGTCACAGAAACTCTTATCCTTATTGACAACATGCTTAATGGTATCTTAATACTTTCTTAAAAAGATGCAGTCTGCTTTTCTATGTGAGAGGGTTATCAGGAATGGAATTTTGCCAGGGAGCTGTCATTCAAAAACCTCTTCTGATCCACATTTCCCAGGTGTCCATCTATGCATCCCCAGACAAACGGAATCAAACACATTATGCTTTGCAGGCGTCACTGAAGCTACTTGATTTTTATGAAAAGTACTTTGATATCAACTATCCACTCCCCAAACTGGGTATGTTCAAATTCCACATTATTGTCTTCATTTTTGCTCATAGAACTCGCTTTGATTTCTTCCCTCTTTCTCTTTCTGTGGGACTTAAATGAGCACTGAGGAATTCAGTTAGCCCAGGAAAAAATAATTTGTTCCTCAGAGATGATTCTTGATCATAGAAAACAAAATATTTACGAGATGCCCCAGTAGTGTGGATCATTTCTGTATTCTTTTATCAGGTTTAATGCTAACATATCTGCATTGCACTCTTTCCCAGGCCAATCAGAAAGGGCACACGCTGGAGGCTGGGACGGAAGCCAGGTAGAGGGCCCTGGAAAGAGATGGGGAGAAAAAGAGAAGGAAAACAGTGACTGTTCTGTTCAAAATAAGGGTCTATATGTCCAAGAGTTCATCACAGGAAAGCTTTTTGAATATTTGTCTACCACAGTGATGCTGTGGCTCCCTGTGGCGGACATCAAGGCTCTCACCCATTATGTTCCTCTTCTATGGGAGGGAAACACACCTCCCATCATGCTGCTCTTCTATGCCCCAGCAGCACTGATTAGAGAATGGATTTTCCATTTAAAAATACACACACCCACGCGTGCGCATGCATTGCATATTAGAATTAGAGGGATTTCGGGAGGAATCGCTATACCCTATTTGTACAAGGTCAGCAATCTTTTATAAAAGTTATCAAAAGTTTATGTAGAGAGAGAACTGAAAACTGTGCCTCCATCTGTTATCTATATTGGGCACTGAGGTTGGATGGTAAGACTGTGGAACAGATTAAAAAAAAATTGCAGGAAACAGATCATCTGGGTGTGGTAGTAGGTGCCTACACGAGATGATACTCATAGTCTATCTTGCTTTTAATTTTGTATCTTAAAAAATAAAAACGTTATTTTTAGAATGTTATAGAGAGAAGCGACCCCCAACCTTTTTGACATTAGGGACCAGATTTGTGGAAACAATTTTTTCACGAAGGTTGGGGGGATAGTTTTTGGGTGAAACTGTTCCACCTCAGAGCATTAGGCATTAGATTCTCATAAGGAACACGCAACTTAGATCCCTCATATGAGCAGTTCACAATAGGATTCATGCTCCTATGAGAATCGAATGCCACTGCTCATCTGGCAGGAGGCAGAGCTCAGGCAGTCATGCTCTGTCACCCACCGCTCACCTCCTGCCATGCAGCCTAGTTTCTAATAGGCCATTGACAGGTACTGGTTTGCGGCCCCGGCGTTGGGGACCCCTGTTGTAGAACATATAAAAACTGTGAAGAAAGTTTCATAACATATAAAGATTAGTGCTTGGGGTTTCTGATAGTGACAAAACAATTTTTTTTCCTTTGGAATTTAGGATATACTTCTTATCCTGTCCTTTCTCACCTCTTGCCCCCAACTCCAATGCATTTTCCTTACATAAATTAAAAGGGACCCTCAATTGGCATACAGTTCTAGGCTTAAAAAAATTAAAAGCTATATCCAGGCGCTTATTTCGATAGTTCCTGAGTCTTATTCTATTATTAACCTGCAGATTCTACATACCCTTTAGGTCAGATATACTAAATCCCACTTATACATAATTCACTGCTGTACTTTAGGTCAAAAGTCAAGGAAAGATTAATAACAACCATCAACCATATTAATGCATGTTCTTGAAAAATGCAGTCTTAAAGAGCATATGAAATACCTTTAAGACTAACAGAGAAGAAACATGCAGCTTAAGAAAAAAATAGAGCAGATGTAAGTCCCACTACTATAAAATTAGCAACGCAATTTAGAAGAAAAGTCATTCCCACATTTGAAGTGCTAATGAATACTAACCTTTATTAGTGCTAATTTGGTTTTTGATTGTGTTATGTATACTTGTTTTTAATCTACTAGAATTAACCAGTATTAACTCCAGACAATGTAATTATAAGCCAAGTGACTTGGTTCATTTTGAACTTTTAAAAAATTATCTTTTTTTTCCAGCTAAACAGAACATTTTAGCTAGCAGAATTCAAAGACTAAATATTAGCCAGAAATTTTTTAGCTTACGTGAAATCATTAGCAAAGGATAGTAAACAATGCACATATACATATACCTGTTTATGTATATATATATGTGCATATGTGTATATATATACAGGTGTGTGTGTATATACACACACACACATACAGGTATATATATATATTATATACACACACATATACCATATATATATACACACACATACACATAATGCAAATTAATGCATTATACCTGAGTTGTTTAAAGATGATTAGGTTGCACTTTCCCCCCCCACGACACTTTCTTAAGAGGTAGAGGAAATATCAGTGTTGAAAAGGAAATTGAAGTCAGAAAGAATCAATGCTGCCCAGAGCTTTTTTCCTCTACTGTCTTAGAAGGACATGTGCTCATAATAGAGGCTGTATGTGCTAGAAATATCAATCAAAATATTGACTATAGAGATGGCCATAAGAGGTATTCTCCTGAAATTAAAATCATGTATCTTTTTGTTTTTTCTAGAAATGAGTTCATTATATGTTTTGATGAATCTCAAACATATTAGAAATTATTTTATACCTTTTTTTAAAGTTTTCAGCAGTACTAACATAAAATACAATGATTGTTTTTAAATAAATTATTTTCTTGGCGGTAAGGCACCCAAAATATTTTCAGAGTTCAGCACTTTCAGGAAGAAAATGGTTAAATGTCAATATGTTACTTCATCTACAAAACTCTTTGTACAACTTATTCCACTTGATAATGGGCACTGATTATTTTCAGCACAACTATAAGACACTCTGTCAATGTTAAGATATTCTTGATGTTTTCAAAAAGTGTGCTTACATATACTTAAAGGATCATAGTGTATTTGAGCAGGGAGCAAATTCTATTTCTGGTGTGGGAGCCATAAAAATCAACTGTGGTTGTTCTTATTTCTTAGATTTGATTGCTATTCCTGACTTTACATCTGGAGCCATGGAAAATTGGGGCCTCATTACATATAGGGAGACGTCACTGCTTTTTGACCCCAAGACCTCTTCTGCTTCTGATAAACTGTGGGTCACCAAAGTCATAGCCCATGAACTGGCACACCAGGTACTTGGCACTCAAGACATTATCTCGATATCAGTTCAAAATAACATTATATAGAACACCACCAATCTTTCTGAAACAAAATAAATCAACTCATTTACCTCTAGAGGGGAACTTAGAGATTACCAAACCTAATACAACATGTCAAGTAGCAGAGTACTCAGTCTCTGAACTGTGGTGTGCATGCTGGAATTTTATCACAAGAAGTAGCCATTAAATTTATCCTCTAAAACCTTTCAAAGCAAAGCCTTCAAATGTCATTTGGGAAAAGAAGGGAAGTGACTATACAGACACATGAAGCACAGAATTGGAAACCTTACAAATAAAGATTTCTACTAAAAATATTTCTCCTTATATCCCCTGGTACTCTGACATTCCAATCTAGGGCAAAATCAATCTTCCTTCAGTTGGAACCTGTGCTTATATGGCCATAATGAAATACTTCAAGTGAAACTTGATGGGCTGATGATCCTGGGCACATTACCTAACTCTCTGAAGTTCAATGTCCCCATCTATAAAATGAAATTAATAACAGTTCTGTTTCATAAAGTTGTTGTGAGGATTATGGATAGGGAAAGTGTGCAGATCACATAGTAAGCACTCAACAAGTATTAGTTATTAATGATGATGACAATGGCCACTACATCTACAAGAAATACTACTGTTTCTTATGGAATAAGATATCTTAGGGCCATGTATCAACACTGTATTACCTACAAATGTGGAATTGTAAAGCTAGGTCTATAGAGATTGCAGACTATTCCCTCTTTCATTTCTGAAAACTCTCAGTAATGCAGTAAATTATTAAAGGCACCAAAATTATCTTTCACCAAGTGGGCAAATACCATTCCATTGTAGAATCTGGTAAAATCTGTTATTTAAAACATTTTAACTTTATCCTTTATCATCACCACAATAATGACTTGTTCTTTAAACCAGTGAACTAAATACTCCATTACACAGAGAGCCATGCTCAGCACTGTGCTTCGAGAACACATGGGCTGTTTCCTCTGGTTCAGAATCTCCCCACTGGCTCATTTTAGGTGTTTTGATCATGAGTCACCAGGAGCTCTAAAGCACTTAACTGAGTCTGGGGATTTCTCTCTTTCTGCCCATTGTTTGTAGGGAAGTGCTCTGTGAGCTCTACCTCTGAGGCTCCACGCTCCCTCTGGCCCTCCCTTTAATAGCTTCTCTTCCACGGAGATGCAGTCGAGTGCTGAAGCAGCAAACAGCACTGGAATTTTTGCCCCCAATTTTTTGTCTTCTCATTGATGACCATATTAACATGTCACTCTGTGCATAATCCTGGCAAGGATTCTCCAATGCCAACTGTCTTAGACTGGCATACAAGGTCCCCATGACCCAGCTCCTTTTTACCTCTCCAGCCTCATCTCTTGCCTACACCTAAACTTTAGCCATCCAAGATTATCTGCCATTTTCTGAGCATGACAGGTTGTATCACTCTGCCTTTGCTCCTGGTACCTGATATTCAACATACCTGAGTACTATTTGCAAGGCTCAGGAAATGAACACCGTCCTGGCAAAACTGTTTATTTCCTCCTAGAATCCCCTCTGTCCCTGGCAAAGACATTGATCTTAGCACCTGCTTTACTGTATTTATTTGTCTACTGGTTGACCTCCATCATTTGTATTGAGGCAGTGGCTATATTATATACATCTTTGTATTTCTAACATATGGCATGGTGCCAGGAATGCAGTAGTTTCTCCATAGGTATTTATTGAATGAATAAATAAACTAGTTTTACTAACTGGTGAAGTGACCAGAGTCAGTTTATCCTGTACTTCTTATATTCACCAGTTTTCAAATTGAGGAAACGCCTCTCCCTTTCCATGAATGCCCTTCAGAAAGTTGGTGTCCACTTGCAAAGTAATCTGAAGGCTGTCAGAAAAGGCATAGTGCTTAAACCGTTTCTAGAAGCTACAGACTTATAATTTTCTGTTCTGTAACTATAACCAGGCTCTTCTGAATCTTAGAATCTTATTGTTGAAGCTTTGGTCCTTCTAGAGATTGCAATTTTAGAGACATACACTAGATGTACAGTATTAGGCATACAGACTAAATAAATAAAATATAAAAGCATATAAAAGAATAGTAATATTTAAAATGTATAATACAGATCAAATATAGGTAAAGGGTAAATATGTCGATTATCTTTATGCATCCTTTTTATTTTATTTGTATAGATTTTAAATCTTAGACCTTTATTGTTTCTAGTAGCCCATGGAAGTAAGTCAGGGGCAGAGGCTAACAACAGAATTTGCTCTTCAGTAATTTTTTTTTTTTTTTGAGACGGAGTCTCGCTCTGTCGCCCAGGCTGGAGTGCAGTGGCGCGATCTCGGCTCACTGCAAGCTCCGCCCCCCGGGTTCACGCCATTCTCCTGCCTCAGCCTCCCGAGTAGCTGGGACTACAGGCGCCCACAACCGCGCCCGGCTAATTTTTTGTATTTTTAGTAGAGACGGGGTTTCACCGTGGTCTCGATCTCCTGACCTTGTGATCCGCCCGCCTCGGCCTCCCAAAGTGCTGGGATTACAGGCGTGAGCCACGGCGCCCGGCTCTTCAGTAATATTATATAACAATCTGAGAGCCCTAAATGAATTCTTATGATTCTCCTAAGTACCTGCTACTTAATATAAAAATATAACTTCACCTAGGACACTTGGGTTTATATTTTTCCCTTGAACATCATCATATATCAAGGACAAGGTGAGATTGTTCTTATTGTGCAGGAAAAAAAAAATACCTCCACAAAGTGTTCCATTTTATTTCTTAATATTAAATCTAATCGCTAGGAAATGTTGGGCAGATAGAATGAAAGTCGAAGAGTTAAGAACATTGAGAACATACAAAAAAAAGGAAAAAGAAAATCAAGCAAAAATGTGGTGGTGAGAATAAGAAGGCAAGAAAATCAGTAGAAGAAAACTGTACAAAGAGAAAAGGGTAGCAAAGGGAGAAGAGAGATCCTAAGTAATAAAAAAAGTTAGTAACTTTTTTTTTTTGCTAAAGTTAATAACTTTTATTTGTTTAACTTCTAGTAACATTGAGTTTTTATCTCCTAGTGGTTTGGCAACCTGGTCACCATGGAATGGTGGAATGATATTTGGCTTAATGAAGGTTTTGCAAATTACATGGAACTTATTGCTGTTAATGCTACATATCCAGAGCTGCAATTTGTAAGTTCACAATTCTGTGTATCATACTATATGGTGTAAAGAATCATCAATTCACTGTTAAAATTTCAAGTTAATGTCAAAGAGAAAAACTACATAATGTTGTGGTTTTTGAACATACGGCATTTTGTTTGATACATGAAACAGATCACAGAACTGGAGGAAACATTGAAAGTTTTAGAAAACAATCAACATAAATCTGTCACCCCAAAGTTTGTAAACAGAGAAGACAAACTAATACAAATGTAGAGCTGTGTATGTGGGTTGTATACACTGTTTGTATACATCCGCACAGGAATGCCCACGGCTACTAGGTACTATACAGAATTCTTGGCATGTAACCTGAAATCAACATTAAAGGGTCTGCTGGCTTCCCCAAAATGTGTGAAGGGATTTCTTCAGGCATGTCTTTTTTAAAAACAAATATAGTGATCTGAACACTATACAAATTTGCATATCAAGGTGGTTAGTAATGGTTAATGAGGTCTTTAGGATCTATATTTAGTCCAGTACACTATAGACAGACATGGATTCAAACTTAGGCTCTTCTTGTTATGGTGTAAGTACTGAATTTGTGGCTTAATGCCCAAGGTTTATATATTCTCACGTGTAACATGCTTATACTACATCTCCCTTGCAGAGGTGTTGACAGGATTGCAGACGATAGGTCTAGGCACATAACAAGTATTCAGTAAATGGAAACCATTATTTTATTTCTGTATTGAAGGGCTGGTACATGGTAAACATTCAGGCAATGTCTGAAGGAATATTGGATTTGTATCTTTTTAAAGTAGAGAAACGGTGAAAGGGGAATACATAAATGAAAAGAAACATCTTCTAAGAAATATTGATTGAAATCTTACCTCTAAGAACATCTTACTAAACCTACTGTGTTTTCTATTGCTTTTACAGTGTCAAATAGAAACTAAAACTAAACATTTTTCTCCTTGTTTAGGATGACCATTTTTTGAATGTGTGTTTTGAAGTAATTACAAAAGATTCATTGAATTCATCCCGCCCTATCTCCAAACCAGCAGAAACTCCGACTCAAATACAGGAAATGTTTGATGAAGTTTCCTATAACAAGGTAGTAAATATCACGTGCAGGTGGAAGCTCTGCTTTCAGAAGAAATGTAATAATGACTATAAAATCAACAGTTTAGGTCATTGGTGCCAGTTTTTGCTACTTGTTTCACTTTTTATTTGTTCATTTTTCAGACATCACACATGTTCCATAAAATTTAAGCTTCCTTTAAAAACATACCATACTACCCTTTTCTTTATCTCTTTTTTCAACTCTTTTGTTTTTTTTTAAAGGGAGCTTGTATTTTGAATATGCTCAAGGATTTTCTGGGTGAGGAGAAATTCCAGAAAGGAATAATTCAGTACTTAAAGAAGTTCAGCTATAGAAATGCTAAGAATGATGATTTGTGGAGCAGTCTGTCAAATGTAAGTCATATGTTGGGTAACGGTAGACTGTTATTTAATCTAGAAAGTAACAGAATAATTGTGAATGTTTATAGTTATATATTGTCAGTCAATCATATTTATTCTGCTTGCTAGGTTGTCATGGTCCATAGAAGGCAGCACTTCCCTTTTTCCTCTAACATCACAGTAGGATGTCATGCTGGAGTGGCCCCAGGGGCTCACTATTTGACCTGACTTTCTTTGGTTTCTCTTCTATGGCTAATCCTACATTTTCATGTTGCCTTGATCCAAAATCTTTAAAATGTTGTCATTTCTACTGTATAGCACCTAATCTCTGGCAAATTTTAAGGTTGTCAACCATATTCCCCAATGTATATTATTTGTTTAGCAAAACTAATCTTCTCCCTCATAAGAAGAAATCTTGCTCAATCCCTGGATCATTGTGCCTATATTTCTAGTGCCTTTACTAGCTGAAATGCCCTTTCTTCTTTCCAACAATTCAAATGCCACCCAACTTTCAAGATCCAGCTGAGATTTCACCTCCTCCTTACAGACTGTTCCAGCTCTCATTCGTTTGCCTGTCTGCTAAATTCTTAGAAGTGCACTTATAATCTGTTCCACATAATAGTACCCTCTTTTATTGTTTTTATTAGTTCAATAATGATAATATGCTTAAGAACAAAAATTGTGTCTAGTCTTTTTTTTTTTAAATGTGATAGCACCTAGCGTGTGCTGATCCTGTAATAGTGATTAACAAGTAGTTAATGATTGATTAAAGAACTCATGGTCTCTTTGTCTTTGGGATTCATGTAGATCATAGGAAAGGCAAAGCAGAAAAATTCAGTTAATTCAGATGATTCTAATAATTATTAAAATATTTTACAATTTCCAACTGCAAAGAAAATAATTTTTTATAGAACCATTAGACCCAGAGAACTCACACCTGTAATTAGAAGAACCCCAAGTCATTGTAGACAGAAGAGATTCTTTCTTTTTTATAAGCACTTGTGTCCCAGGGACAGTAATAATATTGCTTAATATTTGTGCAGCAGTTTACAATTTAAAAAGCACTTTCATGGCCGGGTACAGTGGCTCACGCCTGTAATCCCAAGACTTTGGGAGGTTGAGGCGGGTAGATCACTTCAGGTCAGAAGTTTGAGACCAGCCTGGCCAATTTGTGGAACCCCGTCTCTACTAGAAATACAAACATTAGCTTGGCATGGTGGCGCTTGCCTGTAATCCCAGCTATTCGGGAGGCTAAGGCAGGAGAATCACTTGAACCCAGCAGCTGGAGGTTGCAGTGAGCCGAGATTACACCACTGCACTCCAGCCTGGGTGACAGAGCGAGACTCTGTCTCAATAATAATAATAATAATAATAAATAATAATAATAACAACAATAATTAATAATAAATAAGAATCAAAGTTAAAGAATAAAAAGGACTTTCATGTTCATTATCTCATTTGGTGTTTTTGTGCCCTTATAAAGCACCCTTATGGTCCAATTGATGTGTGATTTTGTGGTTAAAGAAACAAAATCCAACAACCAACAATTATTTCACAGCTCTAATTTTTTACTTGCATTTCTTGAAAATCCTGAGGCATATTGAAATACATAGCTCTTACTTATAAAAATACTTATAGGCCAGGTGTGGTGGCTCATGCCTGTAATCCCAGCACTTTGGGAGGCCTAGGCGGGCAGATCATGGGGCCAGGAGATCGAGGCCATACTGGCCAACATGGTGAAATCCCATCTCTACTAAAATACAAAAAAAAAAAAAAAAAAAAAATCAGCCAGGCATGGTGGCGCACCTGTAATCACAGCTACTCGGGAGGTTGAGGCAGGAGAATCACTTGAACTCAGGAGGTGGAAGTTGCAATGGGCTAAGATCACGCTATTGGACTCCAGCCTGGCGACAGAGTGAGACTCTGTCTCAAAACAAAACAAAACAAACAAACAAACAAAAAACATATAAAGATGCTCTTTACTATCCATTTCCATCACCCACCGTCAGTGATCCAGTGATCCTCTTTCTCCATGCTTCCGCTTAAGCTTCTCAACACCAAGTATTGTGTTGCTTCTCTCTCTCATCTCTCTCCATTTCCCTCTCCCTTGCTATATGTGTGTGCATGTATGCATATTTGTAGACATCAGTTTAGCCCCTCTCCAACACGGAAGAATCTATCATTTGGTGTGCATGCTGGCAGTAGAGGGTGGGAGTTAGAAAGAAAATGTGGCCAGCAGTTACCAGATCATTTTAGTACAGCAGTATAAATTCCCATGTTATTTTTTGTCACATCATGCTTATAATCATCTCAAGAGATAAAGTAATCATCATTACTCCATGCTTATAGATGAGAAAACTGATACTAAGGGAGAGATTTGCCCAAAGTCACCAAGTCAGTGAGAAAATCAGTACTTAAAATTTGTCTTCTGACTCCAAGTCCAATAGTTATTCTTTCAATTGTATCACAGTTACTTCCTAGTTATAAGAAAAGTCCCCCATCAACCTTCCCCTAAAGGTCTTAGATTTTAACCAACTCCCTTCTGATACCAAAGGGCCCTGTAGTATTAAAATAATAAATTACTGAAAATATCTTGCCCATCATTGTGTCACATAAAGTCAATTCTAATACATGCCAATAGCAACTTGAGAATGAGAAGAATTCTTTGCTGTTATTTTTCATAAGATCATTTAAAGGCATTTGAGAGCCTTAGCACATGCTTCATTTTTTTCTCATTTGCAGTTGCCCTTAACTACTGGTTATTCAAGGTTGATTGCCAAATTGGTACTTTTCTTAATTCTTCTTTTATTCCCAGTTAGTTCGAAATATTGTACAGTCATCACATGCTGTTGTGATAGCCACTGTAGGAATACCCAGGTAAACAAAGGTGTTTCCACTACTGTCAAAGAACTTGCAATATGTCAGGGGAGAGTTAATAGTACTAGAGTTGCCTACATGCTAAATAGGGGCATGTGTAACATGCATAATGAAGACCCTTCTCTTTCTTAAGGGAAAGACAAGAATTGGATAGAAAATTCAACAAATTGATTCTTCCTTAGAACAGTTACTGACTTTATTGAACTTTTTAAGGAAACTTTACACATGCATATATATAACACAAATAAATAACTTTTGTGAACTTCTATCCTAGGTCACTGCAAGCATGCCTCTTTTATCATTTTCATGTTCATCATGTCTGGATGAATTATTTCATACAGCTCTTTTAATAAATGTCTGCATCCATGGCTAATGTGCATGTTCAGCCAAGTAATGATGCCTACATGGCAGTGCTCTTTTGTTCTTGTTTTGTAGAGTTGTTTAGAAAGTGATTTTACATCTGGTGGAGTTTGTCATTCGGATCCCAAGATGACAAGTAACATGGTAAGGATAAAGAGAGTCAAAGAGTAGAAGAGATCTGTGGAATAGCCTGACCTGGAGTGAGTAGCCCACCTGTCCCTTTTAAACGCTGGAGAGAAAGAGTCCCCACAATTTTCTGTAAAACAAAACTGAAGGGGAAATGCTTGGGATATTTAGGGGGATGATGCTGTTGCTACTACATTTTTATTGTTATAGTTCAGCTTTTCCACAACCCCACTGCTAGCTAAAAATCAGCTCAAAATGTTTTTGAGTGGTTACTACTGCATTGGCATCCCTTAAGCTCTGAAAAATGCCAAAATAAGTATGCTGTTAGGTTTGGAAATACAGTATATGTTTTTCTTTTTCCTTCTGGAAAGTTATAGAATCACTACAGGAAAGAGAAAAGAAAGTCAGTCATCACAGGGGAAAAAAGGAAAACTTTTTATTTAAAAAAAGAGTCATGTTAATCCTTCTTTTTTTTTTTTTTTTTTTTTGACAAAGCCTTGCTCTGTTGCCCAGGCTGGAGTGTAGTGGCACAATCTCGGCTCACTGAAACCTCCACCTCTCTGGTTCAAGCAATTCCTCTGCCTCAGCCTCCCGAATAGCTGGGGTTACAGGTGCACACCACCACGCCTGGCTAATTTTTTTGTATTTTTAGTAGAGACAGGGTTTCACCATGTTGGCCAGACTGACCTCACGCAATTCGCCCACCTCAGCCTCCCAACATGCTGGGATCACAGGCGTGAGCCACTGCACCCAGCCCTAAATTGTGTTTTCTAAAGGAAGATTCAGCATTATCCAGTGATCAGAAACCCAGACTAGAAGCGCAGCAGCCAGAGGTTTTGTTCTCCATTCACTATACCTCTATTGATATAAAATTGTTCTGTTGAAATATTTAAAGCTTCCCTAAAGACAGATATTTCCCTCTTATACCACTCCTCTTGGATTTTACTGTTATTAGAGGGTTTTTGTTTGTTTGTTTGATTTTGTTTATTTGTTTTTGAAAGGGGGCAGGAAAGAGACTCCAGTCTCAACCCCCTTTTCACTGGCTTTTCCTGCCATATATTAACCCTACGAAATCCTGTATATATCCCTCAATTCAAGTAATTGTCAGAGAGCAGCCCTGGGATAGCCATCCCTCATCCAGTTGCCTGGATTGCCCTTCCCTGAGATAGCAGCCCGAGTCTTCTGTTCCCCAAGCCTTATTTCTGGCATCCAAGGAGATGGAAGTTTCTGTCCCTCTGTCTTTGGGTTGTCTCCTCTCTCTTGAGTTATCATAGTCACCTGTCATTTCAGCTCACCTTTCTGGGGGAAAATGCAGAGGTCAAAGAGATGATGACTACGTGGACTCTCCAGAAAGGAATCCCCCTGCTGGTGGTTAAACAAGACGGACATTCACTCCGACTGCAACAGGAGCGCTTCCTCCAGGGGGTTTTCCAGGAGGACCCTGAATGGAGGGCCCTGCAGGAGAGGTGGCTGCTTTTCTTCTTTAGGTCTAGCTTATCTCATCTCAGTTTCCTCATCATTTCCCTAGCTTTCTCTCAGCTCCTTTGGCAACTTCGTAGGAGGCTAGTTCCATATAGGAATCGAAGGCCTAAAGTAGACTTGATAAGATTTAAAGAGCTTCATATGACCCAGACTTCTTTGTTCAGCAGCACCATTCTTAGCGATTCCATCAGCCTTGAGAACCCCAGTTCTAATGCCAATGGTGGTTAGTTAAACTTATGTCATAATGCACTGACTTCTGGGCCCTAATAAACTTTGTGACTGGCCTATACCTAGGAAGAATGACAACAATGCTTCTTATCATCGGAGAAAAGATATCCCCTATGTGATAAATTAGATGCTAAGATCTCCTGTTGCCTTTCATTTTTCAGTAATAAACTATAATGTCTTAAAACATATGATGTTATGAGTAATAGTAAAAGCAAATCCAATTAAACACACTGTCATCTTGTTCACCAGCCCATCCTGAAAAAAACCTAGTAAAGACTACTGAAATCAAGTAACACAATGTAAACATTTCTCTGAACTATTGCTACTAACCATGGGTTCTTGGGCCGTCAATGCAATAGAAATTGACAAGAGGCCAAAAGAGTTTTCCCAGAGAAGGCTTCATTTGAGCTTATGCCCAGACGTAATGGAGGCAGAGAGAGAGAGAGACAGAGAGAGAGAGAGAGAATTCCTTGACTGGCATTTTAAAAAGAGCTGGTAGAACCTTTTCATTAGGCAAAAGAATAGGTATCAGGGGTAGGGTATGCAGGTTGGACTGGTCAAAGCACATAAAGGATAAGGTAGGCAGATAAGCATTACCTGGTTGCTACAATTACCTTGAGTAACGGGCTACCTGGTAGTCTGGCCAGAAGCAACAAGGCTGTAAATCAGTTGGTCAGCATTCCTTCCCTAAGTAGGACACTCCATGACCTTGGTTATCTCCTAAGGCCAGCTCCTGGAATTAAAAGGAATGGTTCAAACATTAAATTAAGAGGCATGATTCAAACATTATGGCATCAGTGAGGTAGTGGTGTAGGTTTTGTGATCACTGGGGATACAGGAAAGAATGCTCTAGTGGGAGTGAATTGAAGCTAAGCCCCCTTCCTACTCTGTCTCACTATTAGCTCTGTTAATAAGATGAATGAGGTTAATTTAAAATGAAATAATCCAGGTGAACCTTTTCTGGTTCTTATGATGATAATTTTGTTTTCTAAGAACTGAGCTGTCAATGCTAGAATTTTTCTGGAAATCAGAAACAATTAGAGATCTTTGACATATAAAATTACTGGGGCTGGTTTGTTTAATCAGTTACACATTTCCAATCCAGTGGAACCAACTCTTATGCCACTTCTTATGTATGCATCCTTCTATTTTTTTCTGTGTGTTGTTCTGAAGTCTGAACTTCAGAGAGCTTACACAAGTTGCAGCTTGGTAAACAGGGCTGAATAATTTAATGTCTGCTTCATTATTGGGAAAGCAGGACTCACAATTTTGTAACTTATCAAAGTGTGATGAGACAGTTCAAAACTGTGGATGACCCAGAATAACAAAGATCCACTACAGTAATCTGTATTTTTCCTCCTTCTGGGGCAGTATTTAGACAATTCTTGTAAAATGATGGCCCGCTAATTCATGGCTATCCAAACTCGTGAAGTGCTACTCTCCCTCTCTCTAGCCCCAGATCTGTTTATTTGGAAAAATCCCTTCTCTTCTGGAGCCAAGCTGCACTGACGGATCCCAATCAATTAAGTCTTAGAAATTCATCTATGTGGAGTTTTTTTCAATCTTTTTTTTTTTTTTTTTTTTTTGAGACAAATTCTCACTCTGTTGCCCAAGCTGGAGTGTGGTACAATTTTGGCTCACTACAACCTTGGCCTCCTGGGTTGAAGCAGTTCTCCTGTCTTAGCTTCCCAAGTAGCTAGAATTACAGAGGCACATACCAACATGCTTGGCTAATTTTGTTGTTGTTGTTGTTGTTGTTTTGTAGAGACGGGGTTTCACCATGTTGGTCAGGTTGGTCTCGAACTCCTGACCTTAAGTGATCTGCCTGCCTCAGCCTCCCAAAGTGCTGAGATTACAGGCGTGAGCCACTGCGCCTGGCCTTTTTTACCTTTTTGTGTAAAGATCTCAGTTACTCTTCTGTCTGCTTTACACCTGTTGGTGTTATCAAGCACATGATTTTACATGTGCAGGATTATTATAGCTAACATGACTTGATTTAATAGAGGAAATGAATTCTAGAGGCTGCTAGAAAGTTAATCAGAAAAAGATAGCCAATTTCTCTTCTTTACTACAGCAGGGCCATTGAAAAGTAACTGGGAACTTTTCCTCTAATCCATTCTGCTTTTCTGCTCTCTGCACTTAGCTCTCCTACAAATCCTGAGCTGTAGTATTGTTGACTATTTATTTGCAGTCATTCAGCAGTTGAGAGGTTGGATGTGAGTAGTAGTGTTGAACAAAAGCATAAGTAGAAAATCATACTGGAGTAAGTTATTTACCTCTTAAGGGCTTTCCCTACAGCTTTGGTTTAGTTATTTGAATCAGCATTAGGCTGGCAGTTTTTGAAACTGTGAAAGGAATATTGGATTTTCTTTCTCATACAAACAGCAGAATTTGTTATGATATGAGATTAGGACAGCAAATGACACAATTATTTGTGGCAGAATTCAACTAGGTAGATATGGCTGCTGCTTTATAATTATCATGGAATAATTTTTTGCATACTTAAGGATATGCTAGTCTTAGCCTATAAAATTTATAGGACCACTGTGGGTATGAAGGATGATGGGTACTTAGGTGCCTTTTACAGTCTGTCCGAGTCTGACAATGTGAAAAATCACAGCAGTATTCTTTTGGTGTGTAATTGTCTTTACTCCCTGTCATAGGTACCTGTGGCATATCCCGTTGACCTACTCCACAAGTTCCTCTAATGTGATCCACAGACACATTCTAAAATCAAAGACAGGTAATGAACTAATTAGCCAAACAGGTCTTTCAATGTTGAAATTAAACATGTGTTGAGCTATTTGAAGGAAAGATACAATAAGTAAATCTAATAATAAAAGATTTATATTTGAGGGAAATTTTCATTTATCCATATGTTACTAAAATAACTCTTTTAGAAAGAAAATCTGGATTTTTCATTCAGTGGGAAGTTCTCTCGTGCTTTTATCATTTAGAGATAGATTATTTACATCAAGAAATAACAGAAATTCATCTTATGTCTTATAATACACACTAATCTATTTTTATAGGTTATGGATGAGGCAAAAAATGTTCAGTGGAGAAAAGCATATACTTTAAAATTGATTGCTTCTGGATTCAAATCCTCACTCTCTCACTTACTAGATGTGTGACCTTAAGAAAATTTACAAACTCATCCTGAGCTTCAATTTTTTCATCTTATGTTGAATAAGGACTAAACCTCACAAAGTTGTTGAGAGAATATTATAATGTAATTTTACTCTCCAGTATAATATATGCCGTATTAAAAATACATAGTATAATTTTAATTTTCCTCTAAACACTTTAATACAATTTGAGAGGTTTTCCATCACAAAGTCATGCTTAACCTGGAGTCCTTCTTTTACTAAAATGAACAAATGGATCACCTATTTACACATACATATTTCAATGACTAGTGACTAAACCTTGAGACAAGGATATCATCAAATTAAGCCAAATTCCCATCATGCTAGTTATCTGGCTCACTGGGCCCTTGCATGCCTCTTAGACCTGCATAGATAATTTTTTAGAACAAATTCAGCAGTCTTATTCCTATGAATCAACTTATTTATTAATTTAATAAGACCATCTTCCCAAAAGAAATCATCCAGTGAACTATGAAAATGAATATCATTATGACTCTCCCCAAACTTCATCTTCCCATTGATTTATAAGTAATTGGATTAAAACTAACAGTTGTGGAGATGTTCTGAATGAGTATGTTACTAATAAAATGCCTATGCCAATTTTATCCTCTTAGATACTCTGGATTTACCTGAAAAGACCAGTTGGGTGAAATTTAATGTGGACTCAAATGGTTACTACATTGTTCACTATGAGGGTCATGGATGGGACCAACTCATCACACAGCTGAATCAGAACCACACACTTCTCAGACCTAAGGACAGAATAGGTCTGATTCATGATGTGTTTCAGCTAGTTGGGTAAGGCAACATTTCCTCTGACTTCATGGGAAATAACTGATCCGTAACCAGATATGCTAGACTTCAATACTGAATGTTCAGCATTGGTCATTCATTTGATATGGATTTGAATGGAATTCAAACAGTAACACTAGTCCAAAGGCTACCCACTAATAACATAATTTGACCCACACTGTGTTTATAAATGTAATCCAATATTTTAAAATGTGGAGAACCTTACCTAAAAATCCTGACCCCTGGAATCTTTTAAAAATGATATCTGGCAACTGTGGGTCTTTATCCTGTGGGCCACAGGATAGCTATAAAGGAGAGTGCAGTGGGCCAAACTCCCTTTATGCCAGGCCTACTTTCTCCCAAGCACCAATATCCCAAATGGCCTGTTTCATTCACTTAGTGTGGACTCTCTAAGTATTTGAGCTTTTGACCTCACATTTAAAATGTATTTATGATAGTAGCTGCTACACCAAATACCTGTGTAATCTCTTAAATAAAAAGTACAAATATAGGCTTAATCTTTACAATTTTAAATGGGTTGTTATGAAATCTAATCATTACTTACACTGGAGAAATTAGTATGAAGTTTGTAGGGAAATGAAGTAATAATTGGCTCTTTGCATTTATTCCTCTCTAGACTTTCCTGGAAGGACAAAATGTTTTCTTTCCTTTTCTATGTATCATCAACAGAATAATGTGTAGAATGAATTGGGTCACAAGATCACCAATGGGTGGAGGGAATTGAGGACCAGGAAGTATATTGTGCATTGTAAGCTTTCTCTATTCTGAGAATTACTGTGATGCACTCACTTTACTCAACGTGGCATAAAATTTTCTTTCGGAAGCTTGTTTAGGTCAAATTGAGTGACAGTGACCAGCAAGACATCTCTGAAACAGTTTCTTGGTACACTAGAATCCTTCAGTTAGAAAGAAAAGAGAAAGTGAGGCTTAATCCTCAGTCCCATGGGTCTCAGGAACATCTTGGAGGCACAGCTCATTGGAAGCCAAAATTAGGAAAAACACCATCCTACATAGGAGTGAATGCATGAAAGGTGCGCTAAGAAGCAGGCTATTGCTAGCTGAAGGAGGCTTGGCTGCTCAAAGGAGGAAGCTCTGAGCAGACTGAAGAGAAGACAGATTAACAATGCAAGACTAGGAAAAAAATGGAGAATATTGACAACTCAGCAAATTAATCTTTTAGGTAGTTGTGAAGTCTTTTTTGCTGTTTCTAGCCTATACACTTAAGATTGTCTAAATTTAGCAGGAGGAAATGTGCAGTTATTGATGCATTGGTGGAAAACCAATCATCTTTTCTTCACTAAGTAAACAGATTAATGAAGTGAAGAATACAAATTTTATATGAAAACAGAAGATTTCAAGTGCTATGCCTTCACTTACTAATTTTTTGAACTTGGGCAAGTTTTTTTTTTTAACCTTTTTAAGCCTAAATTTTCCAGGCTTTAAAACTTTATTACTAATAATATCCGACATACAGGGTTTGGAGGATTGCGCAGGTAATGAAGATAAAGCAGTAAGTACAGTACTTACTCAATAAATGTCAGCTGTTAACATTATTAGTATTATCTAATACAAATTATTTGAAATGTCATGAGATGAATAGGAAGAGGAGGTGACAACATAGAAAAGTACATTTCAAATAATGTGAAGTTGGGAAAAAGGCAGAATGTAAGTTTGTGTATTATTATGTTTGTTTGCAACTACATATGAAAAAATAAGTGCGAAGGGGAAAAAGAAACCTGAAGGAATTATTTTAAAATGCTATTGGTGAGTGTGTAGGGTATTGAAATTATGAGTCTTCTCTAATTTCTGGTTGTTTTGTCATTATGAGTCTAATTTCCAGTTGTTCTGTAATTTGTTTATATTTACTTATATTACTTTTATAACAAAGAGCAATTGTATAAGAAAACAATTTAAAGCTCTCATAATAGATAAAGATAAATAAAATATTTTTACTTGATGTTCTTTCTCAATACTATAAACCACTTTCCTCCATGCTTTATGAAACTTCTATTAAAGAATTGAGGCCTGGCATGGTGGCTCACACCTGTAACCCCAGCATTTTAGGAGGTTGAAGTAGGCAGATCACTTGAAGCCAGGAGTTTGAGACCAGCTTGGGCAACATGGTGAAACCCCGTCTCTACTAAAAATACAAAAATTAGCCCAGTGTGGTGGTGTACGCCTGTAATCCCAGCTACTCAGGTGGCTGAGGCACATGAATCGTATGAACCCAGAAGATCATGCCACTGAACTCCAGCCTGAGTGACCGAATGATACTCTGTCTCAAAAAACAAACAAATAAAAAAAGAATTAAAGGAAACAATAGTGATCATATTTAGTTTGGAGACAGAATTTTTTCTTTTTAATTAAATTTATTTATTTATTTATTTGTTTATTTATTTATTTATTTATTTTTGTAGTGACAGGATCTCCCTATATTGTTCAGGCTGATATTGAATTCCTGGCCTCAAGCACTTCTCCTGCTCAGCCTCCGAAATTGCTGAGTTTACAGGCATGAGCCACCACACCCAGTGTAAATCAATCTTTACAAGAGGTGATACTATTTAGTTCTTAATGGACAAGACATCGTTATCCAAGGGCTTGCTCCAGAGCCATTCTCCTAACCACGACACAACACTGTCTCCTTTTTTTTTCCCTTCTCCTTCCTTCCCCTCCTTCTCCTTCCCCTCCTTCTCCTTCTCCTTCTCCTCCTCCTTCTCCTTCCTTTTTTGAGGGTCTTGCTCTATTACTCAGACTGGAGTGCAGTGGTGTGATCATGGCTCACTGCAGCCTCAACATCCTGGGCTCAAGTGATCCTCCCACCTCAGCTTCCTGAGTACCTGGGACTACAGGCACACACCACCACGCCCAACCAATTTTTAAATTTTTTGACAGAGATGGGGTCTGCCTATGTTGCCCAGGCTGGTCTCAAACTTCTGGGCTCAAGCAATCATCCTGCCTCAGCTTTCCCAGTTGCTGGGATTACAGGTATGAGCAACTGCACCCAGCATGGAGAGAGAATTTGATGCAAGAGTTGATATTTATTTTAGTTAGGTTTTCATACATTTTAAATGTAATTTAAAGACATGGGTCTTGTATAAGTTGAGTGGAATTGAAATGACAACTTCAATTTGCCTATAGAAAAAGCTATATTTGTTTCTTTTAGTCCCACACCTTAAAAAGAAACCCCCAGATTGGGCTTGGTGGCTGACGCCTGTAATCCCAGCACTTTGTGAGGCCGAGGCAGGCAGATCACCTGAGGTCAGGAATTCAAGACCAGCCTGGCCAACATGTTGAAACTCCATCTCTACTAAAATCATAAAAATTAGCCAAGCATGGTGGTGGACGCCTGTAATCCCAGCTACTTGGGAGGCTGAGGCAGGAGAATCGCTTGAACCCAGGAGGCAGAGGTTGCAGCGAGCCAAGATTGTGCCATTGCACTCCAGCCTGGGCAACAGAAGCGAAACTCCGTTTCAAACAAACAAAAAAAAAGCCTAAATTGGTGCTTCAAGACTATGATGTTATTTCTCAAAGGTACAATCTAGCTGAAATTATATACAAGTAAGTAGGTATAGATTTTTACTGTTGGGCTAAAGTTTATGTTTATCTATTTTTATTCTTTAAGCTAAACAAACATTCAGAAAATATTCTATGCATTTTTTGAAGCATAGGGTGAGTAATGAGGACTTAGATTTTTTTATTAACCAATTTAGTAACTATATAAAAAGAGAAGGAGTCGCTTATGAATAAATATTAAAATTAAAAGAAATAGGCAACTATAAAAGTAAGTATTTTTAATAATAGCATTGATTTTAGTAAGAAATCAATTAGGCTGGGCTGAAAAGAAAAACTGGCTTAATGTAAAGTAGTTTTAATATGTCAAATATTCTTTTTAAACTCATGGCCCTGGAATATCATTTCCGCCTATTTCTGATGCTAAGGTATCAACTGTGCCAGGTATTGTGCTACTCACACAGGTGGGAAGGAGTAGTAACATTTTGTGGATTTTTTTTTTTTTTTAAATACTGCAGACTAGCTGGGCGGGGTTGGCTTAGCACTGTAATCCCAGCACTTTGGGAGGCTGAGGCGGGTGGATCACCTGAGGGCAGGAGTTCAAGACCAGCCTGGCCAACATGGTGAAACCCCGTCTCTACTAATAATTACAAATCAGCCAGGCATGGTGGCACTTGGCTGTAATCCCAGCTACTCGGGAGGCTGAGGCAGGAAAATCGCTTGAACTCAGGAGGCAGAGGTTGCAGTGAGCTGAGATTATGCCGTTGCACTGCAGCCTGGGTGACAAGAGCAAAACTCTGTCTCCAAAAAAAAAAAAAAAAAAATACGGCAGACCACAGAATCATGGAGTATATGGTCCAGCCTTCTGTCTTCAGGCGAAATTTTTGAAAAAAATTTCCATAAGTCTATTTTAAAGCAGTAAGTCATCATGATTGAGAAGATTAAAGGGACAACAAAGGTTGGTTCTTTTTCATTTCCTTCTGGTCTCTTTTCCCTCTTTTTAGACAGGAATTTAAAAAATTTATAAGCCCAGCGAAGGTAGAGCATTATGTTAATGATTAGCTCGGAAAGATATCCTTTGTTCTGGAATCAGTTTCCACATTACATGATTGTGTTAGTCTGGGAGTTAGGTGCTCACAAGAATGGCTTATAGACCCTGTGTGTGCACATAGCCTCCCAGAAACACACGTGAGAAGCACTTTCCAACAGTGAGGTTATGATGGTTTGTTACCTCTACAGAAGATGCGCCAGCATTTTGGTACTTAGAATAATAAACATGTTGTTTATTCTTCTCATTAAAAGAAAACATAGAGAAGGCATGTAACTTTAGAATCTAAAAAGTGAAAATACTTCTTTTGCCCTATTCACAATGATTATCACTTCTCTGGTAGGATTAAGGACAAACATCAAAGAAAAACAAGACACGGCACCTGTCCTCAAAGTCTCCAATGTACTTGGAGAAACAAGTCAAACCCACACATGAAGCAATTAGAGAATGATATCATATGTAAAAAGTTTGATATTATTTGGTACTAAAATGTTAATATTGGCTAATATTTATTTCATTTATTAACCTTTTGCTATGTGGTAGACACTATTCTAAATGCATTTTAAAATATTAGCTCATTAATCCTCACAACAAATTTATGACGAAGATAGTATTATTATCCCCATTGTACAAAGGCAATAGGTCCAGAGAGGTTCGGTAATTTGTCCAAGATTACCCAGCTAGTCAGTGGCAGAGCTAAGATTTAAACGGAATGGTCCACCTATAATGACCTACTTCTGTTATATTCTCTATTTCATATTTGTTTTAATGTTAAAAATATTAAAAACTATAAGATACACACAAACCACCATTTTTTTTATACCTCAGTGCAGGGAGACTGACCCTAGACAAAGCTCTTGACATGACTCACTACCTCCAACATGAAACAAGCAGCCCCGCACTTCTCAAAGGTCTGAGTTACTTGGAATTGTTTTACCACATGATGGACAGAAGGAATATTTCAGATATCTCTGAAAACCTCAAGGTTTGTGTTGCTTTTAGAAAATGTATTAAGTAAATACACGGTGTCTGGAGTATCAGTGAGGCTCAGTTTGTTTTGTCTGAAGTCCTTGAGGTTAAATCTGGAGCAGCTCAGGAGACTGACTGATAGCATTTAATGGTCAATGACCCTCGTTCTTTATCATTGCCAATCCTAAGAGCTAGATAACCAGGATCACGTGCAAAGCATCTCTACTAAAGGTGATTTTATTTTATATCCATTGATATTCCCCTTTCAGATAGGAAATTAAACCATGTTTTAATGCAAAAACTGTTTCCTAAGTGTGGTGGGTAGGAGCCAGAAAAAGATAAGAGAAATACAAAGATACACTGTTTGGGGAAAGATTGGGAAATATGCAGAAAGTTTAGAGTTGAGCCCTTTAGATGGGCAAGAGCTGTGTTAAGGACTAAATTTAGCCTCTCTGTTAACCATCTCATATTTTCTACAGCGTTACCTTCTTCAGTATTTTAAGCCAGTGATTGACAGGCAAAGCTGGAGTGACGAGGGCTCAGTCTGGGACAGGATGCTCCGCTCGGCTCTCTTGAAGCTGGCCTGTGACCTGAACCATGCTCCTTGCATCCAGAAAGCTGCTGAACTCTTCTCTCAGTGGATGGAATCCAGTGGAAAATTAAAGTAGATATAGACTTCTGTCCTACTCTTTGTTCTTTTCTCTTTGATGTAAAAGTCTTTGATCAAGCAAGACATTAGATCTAAAACCTTTTAGTGAGGATAGAAAAAAAAAAAACATGCTGGGAATTACAAACCCTGTTTCATGCTCTCACACTGTAAGTGCTATGTATGGAGACTAGTACAATCTCTACCATGAAATGTAATGGTGTCCATTATTCCTGTGCTGGCAGGGTGCAGTGGCCCATGCCTATAATCCCAGCACTTTGAGAGGCCGAGGAGGGTGAATCACTGAGGTCAGGAGTTCAAGACCAACCTGGCCAACATAGTGAAACCCTGTCTGTACTAAAAATGCAAAAATTAGCCAAGTATGGTGGTGCACGCTTGTAATCGCAGCTACCTGGGACGCTGAGGTGGGAGAATTGCTTGAACCTGGGAAGCAGAGGTTGCTGTGAGCCGAGATCACTTCACTGCACTCCAGTCTAGGCAACACAGAAAGGCTCTGTCTCAAAAAAAAAAAAAAATTTCCTGTGCCAAATTGTTATAACATGCTATCATAACTTCTCTCGCTATAACTAAATCTCAGTGAGCTTTTTGAAATCCTTTCTTGAATTCTTCCTTTTAAAAAAGTAATTCGAGTTTTCTTCTTTTTGGACTTTTTTACTTGTTGGGATTCAAGCCTAAAATCTGTTTTACCAAAAAAAAAAAAAAAAAAAAAAAAAAAAACCTTAAAAAAAAATTTTAAATCTATTATTCTCTTCTTTTTGTTTCTGTTTGAATGGGTTGTATGAGTGAAGCTAAAATGTAAACATCCTGCTGCCCTATACAAAATAGAATACTGTTATTTCATCTTTATGCTGGTTATAAGAAGGATAATCTTAACCTGCAGTAACCCACCTACAGTAGATATAAATGTTCAACATGTTGAATATACCTATGAAAATATTCTAGGTAAACTTACTTATGCTCATAAACAAAAATATGTAATTAAATATTGTTGGTTTTTTCTAAACTCCAAGATTGCTAGTATGACTTTTAATGAAGAATTTCTTTACATAGATGAATTGATTACTTCATTCATTTGTGGATTTGAAATGTAACTAGTTGCACATTTCCTTTATGCCAGCCAGGTATTGCTGTAGGAGCTAAGGATAAAGTGGTGAACAAAACAACCATGCGGCCTACCTTCAAGAAGCTTACAGTGTGTTTGTTACCAACTGTTATAAATTTGTTCAGCAAAATACACTAAAGTGAAAACAATATGTATTAAAATTTAATTATTTGATCTTCATTATATTATTCAATGTCACTTGGAGTATTTAAGTACATATAGTATAGCGGAAGTAGCACAAGTATTAGAATCATAGGTTTAAATCCCATCTGCAAAATCGCAAACTATGTCATCTTGTGCAAGTTACTTAACTTTTCTGAGATTTATTTCCACTTTAAAAAAATCAGGATAATAGCTATCTCAGAGGGTAGCTTTTGACAGTTAAATAAGATGTATGGAGGCTAGTACAATCTCTACTACATGGTCACTTCATGACAAATGCAAGTTTCTGGCTTCACAAATCCAAGTTTCTAGCTCCCTCCTCAATGCTCTGTGTTATGTTTTTTCTGAGACATCGATAACAGTTCTTGTTGATCCATTGACATTTGGGATTAAAAAGTCATATGCCCATTTAGAATAAAACCTGGTTAATGTCCTCAAGATAATAAAAATCAAAATAGTGGTGTCTTTTGTAGAAGGACAGAAAATCATGTCACTGCATCTTATCAGTTTTAAAAAATTACAAAATAACTAGACACTAATGACTTGTACTAAATTAAGATTCTCTAGGCCTAGAGAGTCAGATGACTCCTGGACAGGCCTCAGAAAATGCTCTCAACTAGGCCAAGTGCAGTGGCTCATGCCTGTAAGGCCAAGGGGTGAGAAGATCACTTGAGCCCAGGAATTCGAGACCAGCCTTGTCAACACAGTGAGAGCCCGTCTCTACAAAAAAATTTAAAAATTAGCCAGGTATGGTACTATGTGCCTATAATCTCAGCTGTTCAGGAGGCTGAGGCAAGAGGATTGTGCAGGAGGCTGAGGCTACAGGGAGCCATGATCACGCCACTGCACTCCAACCTGAACAACAGAGTAAGACCCCGTTTCAAAAAAAAGAAAAAAGAAAAAGAAAAGAAAAAAATGCCCTCAACTTGGTGATGAAAAAGCATCAAGTAATCATCTTTTAAAAAAATTCTTATAGCACGAATAGTGGTTACTACATAATAGAATTTATATAAACCAGTAGTTTTGTATTTCAGAAAAGCTTTTATATTTGTTGACTACATCAACTTTCTATTTTCACCACAGAGTGGTGAAAATTTTATGCTTATTTTCTTGCTAACATTTTATCATCAGTAGGAGATAAAACACAGATTTGCAGAGTAAAAGCACATAAAATATTTTTATAGAGTTTGGCAGAGAAAAAGATTTAATACATTGAGTACTGAAAACAATTCAGAGATTATTCTGTTATGGGACTTTAAATTGTCATAAGAAAAAAGAGTTTTTCTTTCATAAAACTTTTTCTTCATTTTTGTGCTTGATATTACAGTATACCAACAGATGTTTTAAAGATTGTGTATTCTGTGGGTGCTCAGACGACAACAGGATGGAATTACCTTTTAGAGCTATATGAACTGTCAATGTCAAGTGCTGAAAAAAACAAAATTCTGTATGCTTTGTCAACGAGCAAGCATCAGGAAAAGTTACAGAAGTAAGTTCAATAATTTAACTAAATGGTTATAAGTAAACTGACACAAATTCAATGAAGTCACTAAAACTTCAGCCACCAGTTTTAAAGGCATAAGATAATTGAATCAGAATGTGTATGGCTTTAACTTTGCTTTCAGAAAAGAATATATTGACAAAATGCAAATAGTGAAAATAGGTATTCCCTAGTTATTAATCATATGATTGATACTAGACAAGTGGTTATATTTTATCTTCAGAACCTTGAAGGAAAGTTATTGTTGTAAAAGTACACTCTTGCATATAAGATGTATAAACGATGCTAATCAAAGTTCTTTGAAATAATAAGTAAACGTTTTTGCTAGGAATAAAATAAAAATTATTTCTAAAAAAGGTAAAAGTTTAATTGGAACATTAAAAAATTGGTAATTATACTTTTATCATCCCTCTTTCTGTTCTATTCCTTTAATATATTGGTAACTTAAGTTAATGTCCATGTACAAAATAACTACTATTTAGAAACAAATTATTTTTCTTTCTTCAGGTTACTTGAACTAGGAATGGAGGGAAAGGTTATCAAGACACAGGACTTGGCAGCTCTCCTTCATGCAATTGCCAGACGTCCAAAGGGGCAGCAACTAGCGTGGGATTTTGTAAGAGAAAATTGGACCCATCTTCTGAAAAAGTTGGTATTCGTTTATATCCAATGTGTGTTCTTCCATGCAGATGTCTCAGTTGCCTCAAGCCAAATGGAATCGAATGTTTCTCAAAGTATATAAATGATACCATTTGTATCTAAATAGTTCAGTGGAGTCAACTTTGAAACTCCCTAGCCCAAATTATCCTATCCAGGGGTAAGGGAGAGACGTGAGAATAAGGGAATGGGAAACAGCCTTCTCTCATTCAGTACAGGCAAGAAAGCACTGGGAGCAAGTCTGAGTTAAATTAAATGCAGTCATCAGCCCCCTCCCACCATTCCTTCTTGGCTGTCTCCTCAGCCCAGAAGAATCCCAAGATGCCTTGTATAGTGCATCACACATATGTGGCCTCGTTTGTTAATACAGTTTTGTACTGGGGGAAAACCTCAGGAATTTTGGTAAGAACTACTCCTCACCCCGAGAGCCCCTGTGGAGGTGGCACAGTGGAGACCTTGGTTCAGGTGAAAGAAACCCAGTCAGGAGTGTTTGGGGAGCCCTCCCTCCAAATTGTTTTGGTTCTGAGTCTTTTCTGTGGTTTCAACTTTGGGGAGAACTGGAGCTCATTTCAATATGTTCCTGGGTCTAAAATATCCCTCAGAAATAACCAATAACGATTAGATTTTGTTGGAATGGAATGTATAAGACAGCATTGCTTTCTCTCTCTCTCTCTCTCTCTCTCTCTCTCACACACACACACACACACACACACACACACACACACACATCACAAAACCCTGTAAGGCATTCAGCCATCCTCTATCCAAATTTAAAATGTCATTTATGACTTATATGGAAATATGTTGAATCAGATATGATTTGCTTCGTTTATGTCGGGGTGAGTTAGCATCCCTGATGCCATTAATTCCTAGTTCCTTCTCTTTCATGTCATAGCCATGGAAGATTTAGAGTCCTCAGACAGCTTTGCATAAGCAAAAAGCACATTTCCACTTCTCTCCCAAATGCTCAAGGAGTTGACAGCCACATGAGACCAAATAGAAATTGTTTTAATATGTATGTGTGTGTATGTTTCCTTTAAAACTCTACTTGAGCCATTGATTTGTCTGTTTGCATGATTGTCATTTTCCTCCTGAAATGATCAGACTTTTTCTACAATGCTGTGGATTTCATTTTAAATAGGAAATGATGTCCCTGCCCAACCATGTGCAGAGCCCAGACTTGGAACCATATTTTTTCTGAGCTGTAACTGTGCTCTGCTTTATCAGCATGAATCACTTTGACCCGTAGTAGAAGTTTTCCATATATAAAACATCAGGTTGAAGGATGCATTCTGTGGCCATTAATGAGAGTTCAACCAAGTAACATTGCCCCACTAAACACAATGTTTAAACACAGTGGTATCCAAAATGGGATGAGAAAGTGTGCAAGAAGTTCAATACATTAGAGTGTCTATTATTTCTTACCTAATTTTAAACTGTATAGTGTTATAAATTTATAAACATAAATGATATATAGTGTAAAAAGTTTAATAAATATATTATTTACATTATTTATCTCATGCTTTTAATTTTATCATTCCTTAACGTATGCATATAATTTTTTAAATTAATTAATTATTTTTGAGATGAAGTTTCACTCTTGTTGCCCAGGCTGGAGTGCAATGGCACGATCTTGGCTCACTGCAACCTCTGCCTCCTGGGTTCAAGCGATTCTCCTGCCTCAGCCTCCCAAGTAGCTGGGATTACAGGCATGTGCCACCACGCCCAGCTAATTTTTTTGTATTTTAGTAGAGATGGGGTTTCTCCATGTTGGTCAAGCAGGTCTCGAACTCCTGACATCAGGTGATCCACCCGCCTCAGCCTCCCAAATGCTGGGATTACAGGTGTGAGCCACCACACCCAGCCCATATAATTTATAAATAAAAATATGTATATTGAGAAGTTCTTGCTCAAAAAATCTTTACTGACAGGAGTATGCAGTGAAAAAAAAAAAAAAGTAGGGAACACTGCTTTAAACAGAAACATAAAATTAAACATAAACATTGCTGAATAACCATATTACCCAAAGAAGCAGTATCTACCTTCCATTTTAGAGTAAAATTTGATAAGTTTCACAGCTTTAGAATTGTACTGGATGAAAGTTATTATGGTAATTAACAGTATCTATTGTAATACACAAGCTTATCGCATAGTTATTAATATACATTAAAAATATAATACAGGATATAATAAACATAAGGTCAGTATTTCTATGACTTTCTATGGTGTTTCTTTTTATTTTCAGATTTGACTTGGGCTCATTTGCCATAAGAATCATCATCTCTGGCACAACATCTCACTTTTCTTCCAAGGATAAGTTGCAAGAGGTTTGTGACTTTCTATTGTTAACAATTTCAAAAAACATGTTCAAACTGTAGAACTGAAAGTAAACTTAGATATAATCTGATTTGAAGTTCTCATTTTATTTTTTTAAAAAGTTGTTTGTCCAATGCCATATAGCAAGTAAATGGAAGGGACAGGATTAAAACCTGACACTTGGCCGGGCTCACACCTGTAATCCCAGCACTTTGGGAGGCCAAGGCAGGCAGACCATGAGGTCAGGAGTTCGAGACCAGCCTGACCAATATGGTGAAACCCTGTCTCTACTAAAAATACAAAAATTAGCCAAATGTGGTGGTGCGCACCTGTAGTCCCAGCTACTTGGGAGGCTGAGACAGAAGAATCACTTGGACCCAGGAGGTAGAGGTTCCAGTGAGCTGAGATCACATCACTGCACTCCAGCCTGGGTGACAGAGCCAGGCTGCATCTCAACAAAACAACAAAACAACAACAAAACAACAACAACAACAAAACCCTGACTCTTAAAATACTTAAAATGCATATATTCGTAGCATTCAAAATGAAAATAGACTTGAGAGGTGAACCCTTTTGTATTATTTCTTTCATATTGTATTATGATGCAAGAGTGATTATATTAAAGTTTGGAAGCCTACTTAATGATCTTATTAACAAAACTATTGTTGGTAATTCCAGTTGTCCTTTTTTTTTTTTTTTTTTTTTCTTGACAGTGTCTCGCTCTGTTGCCCAGGCTGGACTGCAGTGGCGTGATCTCGGCTCACTGCAAGCTCCGCCTCCCGGGTTGACGCCATTCTCCTCCTTCAGCCTCCTGAGTAGCTGGGACTACAGGCGCCCGCCACCATGGCCGGCTAATTTTTTTTTTGTATTTTCTTTTAATAGGGACGGGGTTTCACTGTGTTAGCCACGATGGTCTCCATCTCCTGACCTCGTAATCCACCCACCTCGGCCTCCCAAAGTGCTGGGATTACAGGCCTGAGCCACCGCGCCCTTTTTTTTTTTTTTTTTTTTTTTTTAAAGCATTATAGTCTGCATCTTTTTTTCACAATAAATCTTGAATTTATTTACCCTTTAGGCAAATTCAGAATTCCAGAACTTAAATCCCAGCTCACCATTTACTCTATGACTTGGGTAAATCATTTAACTTCTTTAGTCACATCGTGGTCACTTGTAAGATGAGGATTTATAATTTTTGTCTTACTTTACCTATTGTTTGAAAATAAAGTGAATAATTATGCAGAAAAGTAGAAAATAATCTTTTAGAGGTTGACAGAGAAATGCCTATACCTATGTGTATATAATTTGCAAGCTCTTTTGAAAATTGTTGGAAGACAAAGTGGTTTTATTGTTTCTTTGTTTTTGAAACTGCCTCACTCTGTCAGCCAGGCTGGAGTGCAATGGCATGCCATCTTGGCTCACAGTAACCTCCACCTGCTGGGTTCAAGCAATCCTCCTGCCTCAGCCTCCCAAGTAGCTGGGACATCATGTCCGGCTAATTTTGTTGTCGTTGTTGTTGTTGTTGTTGTTGTTGTTATTTTTTGTAGAGTCAGAGGTTTTGGCATGTTGCCTAGGCTGGTACTGAACTCCTGAGCTCAATTGATCTGCCTGCCTTGGCCTCCTAAAGTGCTGGGATTACAGGTGTGAACCACCACACACGGCCCAGACAAAGTGTTTTATGAACTGGCAGTAATTTTGTTTCTTCAATATTTTACAGGTGAAACTATTTTTTGAATCTCTTGAGGCTCAAGGATCACATCTGGATATTTTTCAAATTGTTCTGGAAACGATAACCAAAAATATAAAATGGCTGGAGAAGAATCTTCCCACTCTGAGGATGTGGCTACTGGTTAATACTTAAATGGTCAATAGAAAAATAGGCCGGGGGCGGTGGCTCACGCCTGTAATCCCAGCACTTTGGGAGACCCAGGCGGGCGGATCACGCCGTCAGGAGATGGAGACCATCCTGGCTAATATGGTGAAACCCCATCTCTACTAAAAATACAAAAAATTAGCCGGGCGTGGTGGCGGGCGCCTGTAGTCCCAGCTACTTGGGAGGCTGAGGCAGAAGAATGGCGTGAACCCAGGAGGCGGAGCTTGCAGTGAGTCGAGATTGCACCACTGCACTCCAGCCTGGGCGACTGAGCGAGACTCTGTCTCAACAAAAAAAAAAAAAAGAAAAAGAAAAAGAAAAGAAAAGAAAAAGTACATCAGACATGACTACCTGCATGAAGTTACACAGGGTAACACCAGCAAAGCTCAAGTCGAGAGCTCTGGATATTTTGTCTAACCAACAAGAAGTTTCAAGAAATCAGACAGTGCAGTTGCCTGCTTTCAGCTATCATATCCAGCCAAAAGATACATGATGATGGAGTGGTGGTGGAAGGCCAGTTCAGTATCCTATTTAAAAGTAAACTTCCCGAATAATGGATATATGTGGAGATACAGACGTAGATATATAGATATAGCTGTAAGTATTTAGCCTCAAGCGACTTTCTTCATTGCTTCACGCTATGCCACTATTTAGCTTCTTCAATTTTTTTTAACCTTGCTTTTTTAACCTTGTATTCTATAGTTTGCCCAACCAGTTTTACGTCCAAGAAAAATTAGCCAATGCATAAAAGATACAAACTATGAAAGGCAAGGATCAGGAAACCAGAGACTTTGTCACCACATCTCCGATTATCAGAAACTAGATGTCAGGGTTTATCAAGAAGGCTAGGAAGGCCTTTTGGGTTAAGTCTTACATTCATGAAGAATCTCAAGGGTAGATTTTTGAGACCATTCCAAATAAATGGTCTCTGGTCAAATGAATGAATCTGCCTTACAGAGATACAAGCGGGAAAGGAATATAATTCATACCATTTGGTTTAAGTCTTACATTCATGAAGAACCTCAAGGGTAGATTTTTGAGACCATTCCAAATGAATGGTCTCTGGTCAAATGAATGAACGGTCAAATGAATGAATCTGCCCTCACAGAGATACAAGAGGAAAAGGAATATAATTCACACCATTTGGTTTAAGCCTTACATTCATGAAGAATCTCAAGGGTAGATTTTTGAGATCATTCCAAATGAAGTCGACTCTGCCCTCACAGAGGTACAAGAGAGAAAGGAATATAATTCATACACCATTGCATTTTTAATAAATCTTTTGAAATTTGCAGAATTAGATTGCATTGTATATTTTGGGTTAAATCATAATTTGAATGTAAATATTTAAATGCATCACCATATTTTATAACTCAGCTTAGCATTTCTTCATATTTTAAGGAAACTCCCCACCTCCTTCTTTTAAGGGCACCTCTTGCTCTCTGAAATGCCCTGCTAAATGCTTCCCTTAATTATTTGAATAAGGTAGTTTGGAATAAAGAAAGAAAAGATCACTCTACATACAGATAGTAAACTTAATTTGTGATCCTATATATGAGACAGTATGAAAATACAGATAAGTTTTAGAAAGACTCAAAACAATACGTAAATGACTGATGTTTGCATGATTAAGGAAAACTGGGGATGTTGGGTCAAGAGGGGAAAGTGTTATTCAATCCACTTTGGAGCAATATCATGAAGGTCAATTATAATTCCATATACCTTTCTTTGATGCCACAGTCAGACATAGCATACAGTTTGGGTGGCCATGGACGTGCCCCAATACATTACACATTTTTTTGTTAAATTTGTTTTCAGATCATTTCATGGAAACTGTGACGTATCTTTGACTCTAACTTTGACTTGGTGGTGGACTTACCTTGGTTTTTATAACACCTAAGTGATATCCTTTAGAATTACATGTATTTTAGCTTAAGGAAATTGAAAAAGTAAAACATACTGGTTTTTTCAACAAGACCATATGTAAATTAAATAGTAAAATGTGTATGAGTTTCAGTAGAACTGCACCATCAACAATGTTTCCATAAATATGCAGAGTTCTTTCTTTTGTTTTGTTATTTACAATATTGTTATATTGAATGCATTTGCAATTTCTAGGATTCTAAAGAATTGAGTACTGAAAGTAGCAATTTTATTATTTGATGATAATATGAGAATTACTGTGCCAATACTGTTTTGATGAATAAATAGACTTTTAAAAATAAATGTATTGTACTTATTAGTGTAGTATTTCAAAAACCTTATGGTAGATGCCAGGCCACTGACACCAACTTCAGACTTGGTTAAGTTACTTTTATTTTCTTTCTTTTTTTTTTTTTTTTTTTTTTTTGAGACGGAGTCTGGCTCTGTCGCCCAGGCTGGAGTGCAGTGGCCTGATCTCGGCTCACTGCAAGCTCCGCCTCCCGGGTTCCCGCCATTCTCCTGCCTCAGCCTCCCGAGTAGCTGGGACTACAGGCGCCCGCCACCTCGCCCGGCTAGTTTTTTGTATTTTTTAGTAGAGACGGGGTTTCACCGCGTTAGCCAAGATGGTCTCGATCTCCTGACCTCGTGATCCGCCCGTCTCGGCCTCCCAAAGTGCTGGGATTACAGGCGTGAGCCACCGCGCCCGGCCTGATTCTCTGAATGAATCAGATGTGAAAAAGTTATATATAAGATCATGAATATATGATGGGGTGAGCAGATACAATTTCTCTGGGCCTCCCCCATTCTTCACAAGGCCCAGTGAGAATTATGTGGTTCCAGCAACCCACTCATAATGAGAAATCTTTCAGATTACGAAAGCCCAGAACCACTGGCTTTGTGTGGGGGAGAGTGGACACTTTGACCCTCAAGAGTCTAACTAGCCAAGCACAGTGGCTCATGCAGGCACTCCCAACACTTTGGGAAGCCGAGAAGGGTGGATTACTCGAACCCAGGAGTTCAAGACAAGCCTGGGCAACATGGCGAAGTCCTGTTTCCACAAAAAATACAAAAATCAGCCTAGCATTGTGGCACACACCTGTAGTCCAAGGTACAGGGGAGGCTGAGGTGAGAGGATCACTTGATCCTGGGAGGCGAAGGTTGCAGTGAGCCAAGATCATGCCACTGCACTCCAGCCTAGGTGACAGAGCTAGACCCTGTCATAAGAAAAAAAAAAAAAAAAGAGTCTAACTGCCATGGTAAGGATTTTCTTGTCCTGTATCAGTACATGCTTCTGCACTTCATTCCTTGCTATGACATTGAGCCCATTTGAGGTTCTATTTGTAAATTTTTTTGTTTTGTGTTTTATTCCACCCCCAGCCATAAGGCAAGCCTCCAAATAGTCATGGGAACTAGTTTTCCACCTGAACACTAATGTCTACCAAACATAAGCCTGCTCAAAATGGCCACATTTTTACTCTGCTACTTTTCCTTCACTTATATTCTTTATTGACCTTCTCTCATCCATGTAACCATGTATCACTATTTTTAAAATTTCAACCTATAGTGGTTTACAACTTTTACATTTACAAACTTTAAACCAATCACGCATTTGCTTGTCTGCTTCCTGGTATCTTAATCTCATCAAAGCCAGGTCTCCAAATCATAAGGAAGAAAGTCTAAAAAGGGTCATGAAAGAAGTGGCTTTACTAGGTCAAAGCATATGTGTATTTCATATAATCCTCTATTTTAATAGTCTGTGCTGGGTAGTTTCCTTAAAAGGATGTTAATTCACTTTCTTCTTATTCATACATTCTGTAGTTGTCAGTACCAGATGTTAATCTCTGATCTCTAGTAATATTTTAGGTACCACTTCCCCTGATATCTTTCTGTATCCTTTAGTTTTAGATGAGTCTTTTGCAAGGAGACTGTACCTGAATTTTGTTTTTTATTATGCTCCCCAACTTGGGCAGGCCCTGGGCTTTGTTATCTGTCCCCAGCACTCTCAAAGGCATAAAAATGGAAGCTTCAGATGCTCTCAAGGTGAAAGTTGGCCTCAGCCTTCAGCTTACCCCTTGGGATTCCTGCCTTTACTTAGTTTCTGATCCAAGAGTATTCCTTACTAACTTTCCAGGTCATCAATGCATTAAAATAATTTTATTCTACATTTTTAGTTATTTTTAGCAGGAAGGTCAGTTAAGGTACCTATTCTAGCATATTCCCAAAAACCACAATAATTTATTTTCTAATGTACAAATACCTAAGTCTGCATCAAACTTAGAAAGCTGGCAGTGTAAACAGATCATTTGTTCAGGATTTAAATCAGGAAAATGTTTAGTATTCATAGTGAGAAATCTTTAGAAAGTCTGAGAAATGCACACTTAACTAACAAACAAGGTAGAAAAAACATTTTATTTCATACTTGTTTCTATAATCTTTCCTTCCCAACCATAAATTCAAGATCTTTTACAAATGTATTCTTCCTTCTTCCAGATGTCCTAATCCTCTACTATGCGGACAGAGAAGGTCAGGAAACTGGTTTTCTATTCTCAGTACATGACTCAGTAATTCTTATCTTTAGTTATTTACACACATGATTTCCCACACTTCAAAATTCATGCCTTCTTCTGTTGAATTATGTCATATTTCTTTCTTTCAATACTATATTTCAGGTTCATTCCTCCATAAGGAATTCCCATAGTAATACCACCTGGTATGTCCATCTAGTCATCCAAAGAATACCACAGTTAAAATTACAAACCTCATTTTAAGTTAGCCAGAATAAATTGTCTATGAAAAGACTGAAAAGATACAAAGGACATTTTTTCTCAGTTTTAAAACTGTATTCTGCTTTAAAAACTGTTTTCTAGTAAATTGAATTTGGAAATTCTAACTCGTCTCTAATATTTTGAGTTGGAGTTGGGAAAAGGATAGAGAGTTTTTTGAGTTTTAAAACTTAGAAATGGAAAAAGGCCAGGATGGGCCTTGGGGCACTTTTTCTAAAAGGGAAACAGTTGTCTCTGTGGCATAAGACTGCTGGCATATAATTTTATTTTCTTTCTATTCATATCTTCAGATGTAGAGCCAAAGACTAAAAGCAGGAGTCTTAGAAGGACAAACAGGGCTTTCTAGCTGGTTGGGGGCAAACAGGTAGAGAGACTTCAGCTAATAGGAATCAAAGGAAAGACCTGGTTTGAAACAATTGTGCACAATCTATGTGAACCAGACAGAGCCCACAGTTGTCAGACCCTCTGTCTGGGTGAGTTAACTTGACTCACACTCAGAGACTAAATTAGAGTTACTCAAGCAACAGTGAATAAGTTGTTAGTTAATGAAAGAGGCTGCATAACATTTAAAGATTTGTATTTGTTTATTCTTGTTCAAAGTTGTGCCTTATCTGTAGATAAAAGTTATGATGCTACCAATCAAAGCACATAACTTCTATCTTACAGAGAAGCCATTATCAGGTAGGACAAGCATATTATTCTTCTGGTTTCAAACAACTGTGCCTCTGGGAAGCCTAAGTATTTGGATTTTTTTTTTTTTTTTTGAGACAAGTTCTTGCTCTGTTGCCCAGGCTGGAGTGTCATGATCATAGCTCACTGTAACTTTGAATTTCTGGGTTCAGGTGTTCCTCCTGCTTCAGCTTCCCACGTAGTTGTGACTGAAGATGTGCACCACCATGGCTGGCTAATTTTCATTTTTTAATTTTTGTAGAGATGGGGGTTTCACTATGTTTTCCACACTGGTCTCAAGCTCCTGTCCTCAAGTGATCCTGCCGCCTCGGCCTCACAAAGTGCTGGAATTACAGGTGTGAGCTACCACACCAGGTCCTGGCTGCTTGGATTTTAAGACCAAGGGAAACTACTATTTATTGACCCCTTGGTCTCACTGAGGACCTGGAAAGAAATAACAGCAACACTGGGCCTTGCAAATCCAAACCTAAAACGTGCTGTCTAAAAAAAGAAACTTCATACATGTCAAAATATATAAGGCAACTCTTATCCAGTTGCCTTTTCTTTTCTAATTTCATCATTATAGATTTATTCCTTTGGACTAATAAAAAGTTAAAATATTACATTGTAACTCACTAGCTATGCTTTAGTGCGACATTTTTTAAAAATTAATATTTCTTTATAGCTAGCTAAGCAAAGGGCCCTGAGGAGACAAAGAGAACCCTGAAGTTGGGAGAGGGGTTTGGGGAGTGAATTGTGGAAACTGGCCAATAGCTTAGAAAGTACTGGTTAGGTAGGAGGGTCTTGAGGACAGTATCTGTCACTTACTCAAGGATGTTACACAGATGTCATTCGATAAATATTTGTTGGCTGTAAAGCAGCACCTGGAAGTGAGGAAGAGACATAGAAAATTTGCCTCAGGCTGATCCTGCTAGAACATGATGGCATATGTCTGTGTCATGTTTCATGTATTATGTATACATCCTGTGTGCTTGTCCTGATTGGCCCAATAGATTCTATGTGCCGTAAAAGCCAAGCGTTAGCTCTTGCTTTGTTTTGAGGTCTCTTTGAAGCCCTCCACACCAGGGGCCCTCCATAAATGGTGCTGACTGACTGACAGCCTGTGCTGACAACCGTCAGCCAAAGGGAGGAAAAAAGCACCTGAATCAACTGAGAGTCAGCCAAGAAACACAGTCAAATGTAATTTTCGGTACAAATATTATAGGACCTTCTCATGCTAAAAAACAAACAAAAAGCTCAAGGACACATTTTACGGGAGTGAACCTTGGGCAGGCTCTATTTTAGCATAGCTCTAAGAAACAAAGGAAAAGGAAAACTAAATCAGAATATTCAAGAGTATAAACATCTCTCTAGAAAGAGCAAGTCAATAACAATTCGGGCTAACAGATTTTTCTTTTTTTTTTTTGAGATGCAGTCTCGCTCTCGCCCAGGCTGGGCGCGATGCAATTGCGTGATCTCGGCTTACTGCAACCTCTGCCTCCTGGGTTCAAGTGATTCTCCAGCCTCAGCCTCCCGAGTAGTTGGGACTACAGGCACCTGCTATCATGCCAGGCTAATTTTTGTATTTTTAGTAGAAATGGGGTTTCACCACGTTGGCCAAGCTGGTTTTGAACTCCTGACCTCAGGTGATCCACCTACTTCGGCCTCTCAAAGTGCTGGGATTACAGGCATGAGCCACTGCGCCTGACCCAGATCATTTCTAAAAACGTTTTTTTTATCTTCTGACTTTTATAGAAGAAAGCCTATGATTGGTTTTTATGGCTATATAGCCAGGCCCATCATCCTAGTCACTTCCTGGCCTAGGTAGGCCCCATCCAACCTAGGGCTTAG